TCAGGTTGATTTTCTTGAAATAGTTTGGCTCATCTGTAGGCATGCAGCTTTAAATCACAACTAGATCTATCACTGAATGTGATTAATACCCCCACAAGACTGCTTCAAAAATGAGGATGTTACTAGTAACAGAATACCATGTAAAAGAATTGAAATGTAGAGTTATGGTTGTGGCAATTAAAGATAGTTGTGGTTCTTGTATGTTGCATTTCCTTTCAATGTGGTTGGCCATTGATGAAGTTTTATTGAATTACTCTGTAATAAGTCCAGAAAGACAAGGAAAAGTAATAAAGGGCAATAACTCTATAAATACTGAAGATAGAGTTATCGTTCTTGTGCACTGCACTTCCTCTTATTGTGCTTGACCATTGTATGAAGTTGTTTTGAATTCCAGCCATTAGTCTTCAAGTTATGCTCCGGACAAAAAAAAGCAATGGAAAAGTAACAAAGGGCAATAACTCTGTAATTAGTCAAGATGGAGTTATGGTTCTTGTGCACTGCACTTCCCCTTATTGTGCTTGACCATTGTATGAAGTTGTTTTGAATTCCAACCAGTAGTTTTCATGTCATGCTTTGGACAAGGAAAAGTAACAAAGGGCAGTAACTTTGTAATAAGTCAAGACGGAGTTATGGTTCTTGAACACTGCACTTCCTCTCAATAAGCTTGACCATTGTATGAAGTTATAATGAATTCAAACAATTAGTCTTCAAGTTATGGTCCGGACAAAAGAAAGCAATGGAAAAGTAACAAAGGGCAATAACTCTGTAATTACTTTAGATAGAGTTATGATTTTTGTGCACTGCACTTCCCCTTATTGTGTTTGATAATTGTATGAAGTTGTTTATAATTCCCACCAGTAGTTTTCAAGTTATGCCCCGGACAAGGAAAAGTAACAAAGGGCAATAACTTTGTAATTAGTCAAGATAGAGTTATGGTTCTTGTGCACTGCACTTCCTCTCAATGTGCTTGACCATTGTATGAAGTTATAATGAGTTCCAACAATTAGTCTTCCAGTTATGGTCCGGACAAAAGAAAGCAATGGAAAAGTAACAAAGGGCAATAACTCTGTAATTACTTTAGATAGAGTTATGGTTCTTGTGCACTGCACTTCCCCTTATTGTGTTTGACAATTGTATGAAGTTGTTTTTAATTCCAACCAGTAGTCTAAGTTATGCCCCGGACAAGGAAAAGTAACAAAGGGCAATAACTCTGTAATTAGTCAAGATAAAGTTATGGTTCTTGTGCACTGCACTTCCTCTCAATGTGCTTGACCATTGTTTGTAGTTATATTGAATTCCAACCATTAGTTTTCAAGTTATGCTCCGGACAAGGAAAATGCAAAGGACGTCTGGACCGACCGACCGACCGACCAACCAACCGATCACCGGGTGACTCCTATATACCCCCCCAAACTTCGTTTTTGGGGGTATAATAATCTTTACCACAAGATGAGCAGCAATTGTATACAAACAGCTGGAAAAAGAACTTTATATCTGTGAATACTTACACAATGCAGTTTTAAACTGTCAAACATTTTATTCCCAAACAATACTAAAAATAATAGAATGCAAAGCGAAATTGAAACAAAATATATGATTATAAGAAATTTGTGATTTTTTTAAAATCTAGATATTATTATATCAATGACATCGTCATGACAACTAAAATCATGTTGTAATGACCTAATAAAAATAGGACAATACAAGATAAATATTCTGTGAAGTTTGATAAAAATCGTAAGTGTATCAAGGAAGCCCAATAATGACAACTAAAACCTACTATGGCCATAAATAAATCCTTACTTCTCATCTCCACATTAGTAAAACGAGCACCGCAAAGACGGGGCAATATACACCCAAATGTAAATTTGTTTGAGTAATCAAAAATAATCTTTCAATAATGGAAGTGACCCAATCAAAGAAACTTGTCTGAAAACATGTTTTATCTTTATTATCGTTATGATAAATCTACTGTATGACCTCCAGGGTGGGGGCATTTTTTACCCTATGTGCATGATTCATAAAACTTTTATAGAGGTCTACTACTGTATACTACTGAGTTCTGCACATCATCTCATTATGATTAACATTTCTGCCAAGAAGTTCCATTTTCCTTCAAAGGATATAGCCAGACAGAGGGATGGATGGACATATGTGTGACAGAATTGGGATAAAGGGTCATTTCTATTGTTATTTTTTTTTGTTTAATAACAGGCCATAAGCCACTTCCTCTATTGTTATGGAATGAACTTTAATGACCTCTTTTGTTCTGTTAACAGACAGATAGGTAGCCCCCTATCCCTATTTGGTAGTACAAGCAGACAACCTAGTGCATAACAACTTATGCTGAAATATTTTCAGGCATATAATTATTATTATTCATTATCAAAAATTCATTTTACTCATATGCCATGCCTATGTAAACTGATAATAATTGTATACATTCCCTGATTATACATGGACCATACTTTCATTATTTGAGCTGCGTCACGACAAAACCAACATAATGAGTTTGCGACCAGCATGGATCAATCCAGTCTGCTGTTCGCTATCAGTTTCTTTACTTGTTATAAGGTCTGTAAGCGAACAGCATGGATCCTGATCAGACTGCACGGATGCGCAGGCTGGTCTGGATACATGCTGGTCGCAAACGCATTATGTTGGTTTTGTCGTGACGCGGCTCATTTATGTAATTTACATAGCTACATTTTTACTATAATAAACAAACTCAAATAAGAACAATCTAGAAATATTGCACATAGAGAAGCATAAAATACTTTACATATCATCAACAATTAGCACTAACCTGCTAAAAACTGCACTAAACATGTTAAGGTAGCCTTACTCAAATGCTTTTCCCCAAAAAATTTCTAACATCGGCCAATATCATAATAAATCCCTCATTTCTACAACGTTATTTTTCACAATCTTCGGTGTTCAATAATTTTCAACTGTTTATAACCAAAATTTAGTACATAGCAATAAAGGATGAGTGATTGTAAATAATCTAATGCCCAAGATTTTGAAAAAATAACATTCCAAAAATAACCGTAATGGTACAATATAAGCCGATGCTATTTTTTTTTGGCCGGAAAGCATTGCAGTAAGACTACCTTACTATAAAATATCAACAAACTTTAACTGTTATGTCCAATCATACACATTTTCAGCTGGTATTGACATTACGATAATGTAACGTCTTGCTGGGAAATCACGCTAAATATACAGAATTATAATTAAAGAACAAAATGACACCAAAAATAAACTGTTTGGTGTTAAATTGGAGATGAACTCATACAAAATATCTTTAAGATGTTAATATACAAAAAAGCATTGAAAAATAAATGAAGATTTCAGGCAGTAAAGTACAATAAAAGTAGCACTTTATTATGTTCAAAGCGGGTGATAATTATAGAATAAGACAAAACACAGAAACAAAAACCAAAGCACTTCTTAAACACAGTACTATTGAATGTATAAAATTTGAACACAAATAAAACATTTGCTGTAGAAGTAAAGAAAACAGGAAACATAAATTATAAAAGCATTGAATGCAACAATATTAATAACTAAATTAGAAATTATATGGTATATTATTGAATCCGCCAACGAAAAAGAAAAATTATTAGATATATATAGTTACATGTATATATATATATTTATTTATATATTTCCCTATATTCAAGAATAGCATTCTCTTCATATTAACACATTACATATCATAAACATAACATAACATATTTTGTCAAAATATGTCATTTCGCAGGTCAACATATTTCATTCACTGAAACAGCTTATTTTGATTAAAATAACTAATCACAATAAATAAGTATTGAATTGCATATTTCGTTTTCATCATGGTTAAATCTTTAACAATATTTTGAACAATATACTATGGAAAAAAAAACTGAACACACAAGTTAACATGATAATTTATCTAACATAAGATCCGCGTCACGACAAAACCAACGTAATGCGTTTGCGACCAGCATGGATCCAGACCAGCCTGCGCAACCGCGCAGTCTGATCAGGATCCATGCTGTTCGCTATCAGTTTCTCTACATGTAATAGAGTTTGTAAGCGAACAGCATGGATCCTGATCAGACTGCGCGGATGCGCAGGCTGATCTGGATACATGCTGGTCGCAAAACCATTACGTTGGTTTTGTCATGACACGGCTCATAAATACATCACTGGTATACGTACTGAACAAACTTCCAACAACAAATATCATCAGATCTCCTATATTAAAACATGTAAATATAATGCAATTATTAACAATATGGCACAAAGTAAAAGAACTGTATCTAAGAAAATATTTATTTTGGCTTATATATACAAATAATCAGTAGCCATTGTTTCCAGAATAAAACAATCATTTCATATTTAACCCATAACCTGTTTAATTTGTGAAATGGATTTGTCCTTCTTTTAATTTTGGAAGAGTCCATTAAAAGGTGTAGGGGATTTCATAATCAAAATACAAAACTTGAGCTACCAGCAATATAGAGCCTGGTCAGACTGTATAGATTTTCAGGCTGGCCTGGATCTATACTGGTGGCAAAGGCAAATCACTTTCACTGTGGGCAGGTTAATTGGTTAATAAAAGAAATTTATAATTTCTACATAATAATCTTATTATTTTCACAACCACTTAAACAACAATTCATATAACAGAGTTTTCTTTTATTCTTCACCTAAGAACTAAAGAAAACCAAAAATAATTCTAAATATCTTCAGGAAAATTCTACTCTTAGACTACATTCTGTTTTTATCCTGTATTGGATATAGCACTGTAAAATTCCACGAATAAGACAAACACACAATGGAAGTCTTAAAAGTGAAATGGTCTCAATAGTGGAATAGTTACAGTCCAAAAGATGTCAGAAATCTTAATCAAATGTTGTTACATACATTTCTTTTGTATTCAACAATTATACCATCGCAAAATGTTTTACTAAGTTATAATGATAAACTTTGCAAAAGTTTATCAAGCACACTTTTATCAAGAAAGTCATAGTTCACATCTTTTTCTGTTTAACTTTAACTTGTTTAACTATCTTGTCCGATTTACTAGTTTCCTTACTCTCACTTGGTGTAAAATCTTTCTTGTCTAGTTCAGCCATGGCTTGATGTATAGCTTGCTCCAGATTACTGTTCATTTTCCGTCCCCTATTGTAAATATATACTTAAATTACAATATATCAGATTACTGTTCATTTTCTGTCGCCTATTGTAAACATATTCTTCAATTACATCAGATTACAGTTCATTTTTCATCCCTTATTGTAAATATATACTTCAATAATATTATTACACCAGATTACTGTTCATTTTCCATCCCTTATTGTAAATATATACTTCAATTAAAATAGATTACTGTTCATTTTTCATCCCCTATTGTAAATATATTCTTCAATAACATTACTGTTCATTTTCCATCCCTTATTGTAAAAATGTACTTCAAATACAACAGACTACTGTTCATTTTCTGTCCTCTACTGTAGACTTCCATTATAATACCCCAGTACATCAAATACAATGTAGGAAGCATTTAAACCTTAAATTCCTTTACATTTAAATTTAAATATTCATTCCATAATTCAAACATGGACAAACCATGTTAAAAGTCACTTTGTAATCTGTATGCTATAATTAGGACTTATTCTATTTATTGATCTATTATGAATAAACTAAGGCCAAGAAATTATTTGAATATTACAAAGACCACAATCGATTTTAATATGGCTTAACAAATTTAAATATTCCAAATAAAAAAGATAATACGATTTTTTTTTCTCTTTCAAAATTTCTATCAGTTTTAAAATCGAGCGGACACATGGCCAGGTTTTTAACATGTTGGTATAACACATTAATTCAGCCAATAACTTCAATTAACTGTCAGAAGTTGAAAGGAAATGGTACTACATGCAAAGACTTTTTCAAACCCGTTTTTTCATTGGGTCTTTCCAGTCTTACTAATGTAGGAAGAACTAAGGTGCCCGTCCTTGCATTATTTCAAGCACCCATGTAGAACCACCGACATTCCGTAACCTAGTTGGATAGCTTTCTCACATGAAAAAAAAACCAGAGCCCATGCCAGGATTCGAGCCCAGATAACATAACAGATAAAGAAACAATAAAAGTAAAGCATGATAAATACAAATATCTTACCTCCTGTGTTTTTTTCTTGCTTTATGGTGAGCTTCAAGTCCTTCAGACAGGGTCTTCAATTTACTTGGTTCAACCTGGGTCACAGTGTTATCACCAAACCATTTTACATATACCTTCAGTAAAACAAAAAAACTATAATACAATACATGTAATCTTAACATCATTAAATAAACATTTCTTGTTACAGAAGGTATAAAAAGATCTTAAAAAGATAAAATGACCATACTGCTTTGCATGAGACTGTCACTAGGTGTTGTTTGATTTCCCTCATTTGTTTTGATTTGACAGAATAAATAGAGATTAACATAACCAAAACAGTTTCAGTATATGTCTCATTAGTAAACCTTTTGATCAGATTTTGTATAAGAAATTGATTTTAGTTTAATTGTGTTGGAAATTATAAGCTTACTGAAACACTTTAAGATCTGTACATTGAACCATTTTTGGCCGGGTATCACAGGTGCAAACCCAGATTATAGTATGGTGAATGTCTGGCAGTGGGCGGTCAGGGAAATTTTTTTTATATTTTTGTTAAAAAATCAAATTGACATTAAGTGGTAATAAATTAGTTATGGAATATCCCAAAGAATGTAAAGTTGTGTTAAAATGATGCTAAGGTTACAGATTTTAACTGTGTGATGTCACAATTCCTCTCTATCAAAAGTTATTCCATGATTAACACCTGTTACAAATTATTAATTCAAAAGTTACCATTATATGAAAGCTTATTGACCTAAAAGTAATATTAAACCTTAAGCATTTTGACAAAGATAGGGAAAGCCTTAATGACTCCATAACTGCAAATTCAATCTGTTATTTATTATAAAATGTCATTTTATTTTTGTTATATAAACATCATGGTACAAAAATTACCACATAAATGGAAGACTAGAACTCCGCGAGTCGGATATGTCGCCTTGTGAACAATGTAGTTTAGGGGAAATGGCCAGGACAAAAATGAAATATGAAAAATAACAAAGAGCAATAACTAAAAAAATAATAAGTGCAGAGCAGCAGTTTCTGTACACTGCACTTCTTATCAATAAGATCTATCATTCTATGATGTTTCAAGTCCATAGCTTTTATACTTGAGGAGAAATGATCAGGACAAAAATAAAGTAAGAAAATCAACAAAGGGCAATAACTGAAAAATAAGAAATGCAGAGTATCAGTTCTTATGCACTGCACTTCTTTTTAATGATGAATAAAGTAGGTGAGGAACACACGTACAACACCAGGTCATTTTTAAAAAGTTTTTATTGGCTACTAGTTTCGAGTAATACAATACTCTTCATCAGGCTTAAAAAATATCAAATTCTAACTACTGAAGTACTGTTATTTAGGGATACTTTTTTGTGTTTTGTTACTATAAATAGAAGTATTGTTGCTAATAATAGATATAGTTTTGGCACTGTTCCAACGAGTTTATCATTGAGTATATCATGTATATTGTTTGAATAAAAAAGATCAAAAGTTAATTATGCTTTGTTTAATAATCCATTAATCTGTCCAATGTTTATAATGAATTCGTTTGTTTCACTAAACATACCATGCTCATCTTGGCAAACCGTTTCTGTACTAGACGGTGAGGAGGGTTCCTTAAAATTTATAGTTTGAAGAATATCTGTGTTGTCCTTACTAATTTGACTTCTTTTTAATGAGATCTATCATCCTATGAAGTTTCAAGTCCATAACTTTTATACTTTCGGAGAAATGGCCTGGACAAAAATTAAGTATGAAAATTAACAAAGGGCCATAACTCAAAAATTAAGAAATGCAGAGTACCGATTCTTGTGCACTGCACTTCTTAATAATGAGATCTATCATCCTATGAAGTTTCAAGTCCATAGCTTTTATACCTAATGAGAAATGGCCCTGACAAAATTAAAATATGAAAATAAACAAAGGGCAATAACTCAAAAAATAAGAAATGCAGAGTACCAGTTCTTGTGCACTGCACTTCTTCTTAATGAGACCTATCATCCTATGAAGTTTCAAGTCCATGGCTTTTATACAATAGGAGAAATGGCCCGGACAAAAATAAAGTATGAAAATTAACAAAGGGCAATAACTCAAAAATAAGGAGGTAGCAGAGTACTGGTTCTTGTGCACTGCATTTCTTCTTAATGAGATCTATCATCCTATGAAGTTTCAAGTCCATAGCTTTTTTAGTTGAAGAGAAATGGCCCGGACAAAAATTAAAGTATGAAAATTAACAAAGGGCAATAACTCAAACAAGAGGGCCATGATGGCCCTGAGGTCGCTCACCTGTATATAGGCCCACCCCCCACCCCCACCCCCCCCCAACGTTGCAGGGCCAATTTAAACCCAAGGGCTTTTATTTGCACAAACTTGGTAGACACCCATAAGAAGATGTTTCATGCTAAACATCTAAGCTCTAGCTCATTGGGCTTTTTAAAAGAAGATTTTTTTTAAGTTTTTACTATACACATATAGTTAAAAACAATGACACCCCTGGGGCCGGGCCAGTTTTGACCCCAGGGCTTTTATTTGAACAAACTTTGTAGACACTTACTAGAAGATGTTTCATGCTTAATATCTAAACTCTAGCTATTTGGGTTTTTTCAAAGAAGATTTTAAGTTTTTGCTATACACATATAAAGAAAATCAATGACCCCCGGGGCGGGGGCCAATTTTGACCCCAGGTCTTTTATTTGAAACAAACTTTTGTAGACACTCACTAAAAGATGTTTCATGCTTAATATCTTAACTCTAGCTATTTGGGTTTTTTCAAAGAAGATTTTAAGTTTTTGCTATACACATATAAGGAAAATCAATGACCCCCGGGGCGGTGCCAATTTTGACCCCAGGGCTTTTATTTGAACAAACTTGGTAGACACCTATTAGAACATGTTTGATGCTAAATATCTTAGCCATAGCTCTTTGAGTTCTTTAAAAGAAATTTTTTTAAAGTTTTTACTATATGCATATAGGGAAAATCAATGACCCCCCGGGGCGGGGCCAATTTTGACCCCGGGGCTTTTATTTGAACAAACTTGGTAGACACTTATTAGAACATGTTTCATGCTAAATATCTTAGCTCTAACTCTTTGGGTTCTTTAAAAGAAGATTTTTTTAAGTTTTTACTATATGCATATAGGGAAAATCAATGACCCCCCGGGGCGGGGCCAATTTTGACCCCAGGGCTTTTATTTGAACAAACTTGGTAGACACCTATTAGAACATGTTTGATCTTCAATATCTTAGCCATAGCTCTTTGAGTTCTTTAAAAGAAGATTTTTTAAGTTTTTACCATATGCATATAGGGAAAATCAATGACCCCCCGTGGCGGGGCCAATTTTGACCCCAGGGCTTTTATTTGAACAAACTTGGTAGACACCCATTAGAACATGTTTGATGCTAAATATCTTAGCTCTAGCTCTTTGGGTTCTTTAAAAGAAGATTTTTTAAGTTTTTACTATATGCATATAGGGAAAATCAATGACCCCCCGGGGCGGGGCCAATTTTGACCCCAGGGCTTTTATTTGAACAAACTTGGTAGACACTCACTAGAAGATGTTTCATGCCAAATATCTGAGCTCTAGCTCTTATGGTTTTTTAAAAGAAGATATTTAAAGATTTTTCTTTCGGTTGCCATGGCAACCAGAGTTCTGCATGGAATTAAATTCTTTGAACAATTTTTAAAGTTGACCACCAAAGGAACATTCCTGTGAAGTTTGGATGAAATTGGCTTAGTGGTTTATGAGGAGATGTCATTTAAAGTAAAAGTTTACGGACGGACGCCGGACGGACGGACGCCGGACGAAAAGCGATCACAAAAGCTCACCCTGTCACTTTGTGACAGGTGAGCTAAAAATAAGAACTGCAGAGTACCGGTCCTTGTGCACTGCACTTCGGGTTATTGAAAGAAGCATGCATACCAAGTTTGAAGTCAATCAGACTTATAGTGACTGAGTTATGCTCCGGACAAGCTTTAGGGGACGCCGACAACGACGCCGACACAGACGCCGCCGCCGACAAAAGTAACCCCTATATGTCACCTTTTCAAGGCGACACAAAAATGAATTGTATATGTGGCATGTTGCCCCAGTAGGATGAACTGCAGAATAGTATTCCAAGGTCCCAGGCAAGTGGATATACCCAGGTATGGTACTGATTACAAGTGTAGAAAATTAACAAGTAAATCAAGAGGAGAGAACTAACATCAAACATCAGGATGGTTTGTAACTAGTTTATTCAAGGATTTACTAGTTTCGGTCTTTCAAGACCTTCATCAAGATATAGTGTAGAAAATGTACAAAGTGTAAATGTTCAGAAAATATATAAACATTCATTAACTGATACAGTAAAATCGGTGAATAGTATTCGTACATTTTTTTTTCCTATATAAAGAAGTGACATATTTGTATCACATAAAATACTGAAAACAGCATGTGCTTTGTATGCCTCTAAATCTTGAATTCAATTCTAGAAATAAGACTAAGAATAAGATCTTACTTTTCCTTCTATTTCATCTCCACACTTTGATTCAGTATTGTCAACAAGTTTGCCAGGCCAGGATGGAAATCCACGTATTTGTCCCCACACAAGATCCCCAGTACTGAATGACCTTGGGTGTATTGCCTGCTTTTCTTGACTACCATCATTGTTTCCTGAAACATAAAGAATAGTTATCAAAAACCAAGGATACCATTGTCACAAAGTATGTATATCATGAAATTTTACAGGTTCCTTTTGCAAACAGCACAAAAATGCTGCGAACAATCTTTTAATCTGACCTGTGTGACCTTAACTTACAGACCTACTTAAATTGTATGACATGCCACTTTACTTTATAATGGTGGACACTTGTGTCAAGTTAAATTAAAATCCTTCAATGCAGGGAGAAGTTTTGCACCAGACAAAGCATTATCCTCTTACCTTTGATTGTGACTGTCACTCATTTATGGGTTCTGTAATGGAAATTAATAAATAAGATATAAAAAAAAAATTGTTTTACCTCCAATGTTATCTTTAGAAGTAACATCATCCTCTTGTTGTTGCTCTGTATCGCATGTTAACCCATCCATATTGTTTGCCTTTGGATCTGTAACACGTTCTGGTACATGTAATAAATTCATCTTGAGGCATGACAACTGCCACTGTCCTTTCTGACTGGATAATGCTGCTGCAATACGGCTTGTAAGATTGTCTTTGTTCACAGTTTCTTCTGCACTACTTGTTATATCTAAATTGTGTGAGCTGTTTTCAGAATCGACGGAAGAATCACATTCCAGGCATTCCTTAAACAATTGTGCTTTACTTTGGATTTCTTTGATAACACCAAGTTCATTTGAACATGAAGGTTTAGGTTCACTTTCACTTTCATCTTGTTTTAATTGAGACTTAACATCCAGCTGCATTTCCTTCATTCTACTGGCATCTTTACCTTTACTTGTTACAGCTGCCAATGATGAAGATGCTTTTGTTGCTGCTTGAGTTGACGATCGCAATTCTTTCTTCTCAAACAAAATTTGTTCTTCCTTCTTGTCTTTAGATTTAAACTTCTTTGCACTCTCTACAGCTCTTTCCACGGAGGACTCTAACAATCGTTTTCTCTTTATCTTAAGTTTTAACTCATTTCCACTTGGTTTAGTCAACTCAGCTGACAGATTCTGACTTCTAGCAAGACTAGATTTTTCTCCAAGCAACCTGGACTCCAATTCGCTAGATCTAGTTGTGCCCTTTTGTGTTGCTATTGCTAAACATGTATTCAAGCTTGATGTTCTTACAACAGGTAAACTAGTTACAGCTGAGATATTACTAGAAACATCTTTTGAAGTTGACATAAGAGATGTTACGTCACCTGACTCAGATTCCATGTCAGATTGAGATGCATTACTAATATTATGATCCGGGTCATCTTCATATTCAGACTGAACTTCAGAATTGTCTTCCTCTATAGCATCTGTTTCAGTGCCTATATCAACAGTTTTAGTTGTTGATGTACAATCTTCAGTAGTATCAGCAGCTGCTATCACTCTTGTTGTGCTACATTTTCTCAGTGTAATCTCTTCATTACCACCTGTTACCACTGCCTCACTATTAACATCATTTGAGGTTTGCACATTAACTTCCATATTTGATGTCCCAGATGAAACTGGTGCACCTGCAACATCATTTCTAGACAGGTCTGGTACAACTGCATCATTTCCTATATTGGCACTAGCAACTGCATTTGCTTGCTTTCTTTCAACAGTAGAACTATTGTTCACACCTATGTTCTGTAAATTAAATTGACTTATAAGATTTTGCATTCCTTGAACTTGCTGCAATTGTTGCAGTAGCTGCTGCTGTAGCTGTAGTGTTTGTAACTGCATAGCTGTTAGATTTGTCCCATTTCCTATGGAATGTTGGATGTTTAACATGTTCATAACCGCTTGTGTGTTTGGATTTATTGTCAAATGATTGCCAATAAGAAGAGGATTTTGAGTAGGATCAACACCTGTATTAGGTATACTAACAGAATGGTTTGGTGGTAATTGTTGCAGATTAAAATTATTGTTTTGTGGAGTCGAGTTGTTTCCACCATAAGAAGGCTGTTGCTGAAGAAGTTCATTTACATTTTGAGGAGGATGTACACCTTGAAGATTCAACAACTGTGTGGCTGCATGTGCATTGCCAAGTAAAGGTACGAAGGTTTGTGCATTTGATATGTTACCATTGCCTTGATCTTGCTGTCTCAGTAATAGTGGAACACTTGAAGCAGATATGGAAGAAGGCTGTAACTGTGTATTAAGTATCTGATGCTGATTCAATGAAGGATTTGATGAGTCTAAACTTGTATCAGATCCTACTAAATGCTGTTTATGTTGTGTAACATTCTGTAAGGAAAACCCAAGCGCATTATACATCTGAAGAAGTTGTGTATCAAGTAATGTTGGATGCTGACTGACAACAGGTGTAACTAATGTTGAATTGTCTATGTCTTGAGATGCAGGATTTTGATTCGCTTGACTATGTGTTGGCAGCTGATGTGGTAATACTTGACCAACTTTAGCTATTTCTGGCAGAGAAATATGCCCAGGATTAACATTATTACCTTGTCTTTGTAACTGCTGAATCATATTAAACATATCTACTTCATGGCGTTTACTGGAATCACTCCTATTTAACAGTTCTGAAATTTTTGGTGCACCAGATTTAGATTTTGGCTTCTCTGCAGAACTAACACATACATTTGAATTTGTAGCAATGTTTGCAATAGAAGTTTTCCCGAGGACAGAAGATACTGGTTGTTGCAATTTATTGTTATCTGTAGCAGGCACTGTTTGCATTCCACAGGCATTTGTGGTCAAAGCTGTTGTAACAGTTTCACTATGAACAGGTAACAATCTTGCAGACAGGGGATCAAACGGATGCGTCATTAGCATGCCTAAATGATTCTGTTGTGTTATCTGCGCCTTTGCTGCTGCGGATAATAAAGAACTGGCTGGAAACTCTCCTTGTGATAGATTATTCAGTAGTTCCTGGATAGGGAAATTTGGTCTTTGTATTCCCATAGGAACCATATCAATGCTTCCTTGATGAAGCGAGGACGGTACTGATGGAAGATGGGCTGCACTTGATATTCTTGGTGCACTTAATGATGCTGTACTTTGTTCCCCAACAGATTGAATGGATGATTTAGGAACTTCAAGAGATTGCATTAAAGCCTCTTGGACTGCCTCTGGAAACATCTGTTGAAAGACTTGCCCTATAGTCGGATCATTTAATATGGCAGCAATTGGATTGAGTACATTTCCTTTGTGAAGATGATCCTGTTTCCCCTCTTTAATACCAAGTGCATGTTGTCTGGCTTTAATTAGAGACATCTGATGGCAAGACAATGATCCTGGTGTATGGTGAACCACTGTTGTAGGAGTGGGTGGTGCACTTGCAACAGGTACAGTTTGGATGACAGGCAATGTTTTAGAGACAATACAATCCTTTGAGACAGCAACTACATTTTCAGTTGATGTAATTACAATACTATTGGAAGCTGTAGCAACATTTTCTGACAATACCTTAGAAGGTTCATTCTCGTTTTCAGGATTCTTTGTAGCTTTTGTACTATCTTTATCATATGCTTCTTTTTCAGGTTTAAATGGACTATTTAGCCTATCTGAACAGGCAGAGTCGGATCTTGTCTTCTCCACATCTTCTGATTCTGTCCTTTTATTATCTAAAACAGGACTTGTACAGGTAGAGGATATTGAGTTATTGACAAGTTCTGTCTGTTGTTTGAGAAATTCTGATGGATTGTCAAGGAAAGAGGCTATTTTCTGTTTTGGAATAGGACCGTGCCCTTTATCTTTCAACTGACTGACATCAACATTTGGTGGTGGAACATCACTGTAAAAAAAATCTTCAACTTTTTCACATTCAGCCTTTTTGGTCCTTCCTTTTTTAATTTTACTTTTTCCATCTTGACTCAACCAAACAAAATTTGACATCTGTGCATGAGGTGCACCTAGAGATGTAAACATAGGACTAAAAGGAAACCCTGGTCCTTGGTGGTGAGGATATGGTCGGACATTTGTAGCTGATTGAGAGCTGCCTTTTGAACTAATACTAGCACCATGCTGATAACTACCATGGACATTCCCAGCAAGTCCCGGCAAATTAAATGGAGGGAACACTTGTTGATTTGGTGGACTAGACAATTTATGCAAATTTGCAAGAACGTTTGCCTGAAAAGGTGTCAGTGGATTCGGTGGTAATACAGGTAATTTCATTCGCTCTTTCAGAGCGTTATGTATTTGCTGAACATTTTCTTGCACTGCTGGACTCTTTGTTGACGGACTTACAGTTGGAACTCTTACAAAATTTTGCTGGAAAACTGGTGGCAACTCTGATGGATTAACACCACAGAAGTTCATAAAGTGTGTGAACATATCTGTGGAAAAGACATGGTCATTTCTCGGAGACAATGATCTGTCAGAACACCGAGACGAATTTCTTTCTGACCCAGGAGATGAGAGGCCAGAAGATAATCTGGACCTTGACTGAGACCGAACAGGACTTTTAGACTTTGCTGGAGACAACTTCTTGTCAGTGGTTGATTTTGACTGCACTGATGACTTTGTAGACTGCACGCTTTGAGAATTCTTTTCATCACTGCTTGCACATGGAATATCTACTTCATTTTTCATCACTTCTAAAACTTTTCTCTCTATTGTTTTAGATAATAATGTGCTAACACTAGTAGCTTCTGTCAGTACACCAGTATTTGGAACATCACTCGAGTTCACTACAAAAGTCTGTTTGGGAATGGTTTTATGGACTTTTGGTGTTTTGACAATCTGATCACTTGTATGACTTTCAGTCTGGAGCACAACTGATTCTTTTTCCACCAATGATTTATCTGGTCTTGCACTTTCATCAACACCACTATTATCCACTGAACTTGTACTAACAATGTTATCTGAAATAATATTTTTTGCATTTTTGTCATCCGAACTACCACCAACTGATTTCACACCCTTTCCATTTTGACTATCATCACCTGGTACATTCTGTAACTCAACTGAATGAAAAGACTTTGGTTTCTTCTCAGTGTCAGTATTTTCGGCCTTCTTATCACTGTTTTCAACCTTACTCTCAATTTTCTGTTTTTTATTGCTCATGTCTGAAAACAAAAAGATTATATATTATTTTATCAACTACATTTTATATGTTATTTTGGTTTTGGAGTGATATATGTGGATATATTACCTGTCAAGATTTTATATCACCCGAGCCGTTAGGCGAGGGTGATATTTTATCTTGGCAGGTAATATATACACATATATCACTCCTAAACCAAAATAATAATTTTATTACCCTTCCTGTGCCAAGTTAAGACGATTTTAAAACAAATCATTGCTACTTCAAATGAAACGCGAAATAAGAGTCCCTTTAGGGTACCCCTTCACCCAACATGACCTCACATACACGACGTATTTTCTTTCGAACCTAACAAATGTAAACAAGAGAAAAGGAGTAGTCTGTTGAAAGCACTTTTTTGGAATTAATATCAAGCTTTCACAAGGTCATATTTGTTTTCAATACTGATGAGAATATGTATCATTACTCTATTTTGGTAAATATTTATCATTTGACAGTTAAAAAGTGCTTGTAAATCAGAATTTACAATGCGTAAAATCAAACCGTACGCGCATCGCCACAGCGCATGTTACCCAACGGGGAAATTTAGTGTGTATATTACCCGTCTGGCTCCGTAATATCAGTTTCTTTCGGGTGATCAATATCCAATCAAAAAGGCGGAAAAAATCTGGAAGGGTAATAAACCCTTTTGTGGACCTTGTAATCACCAAAAGTGGTTTGTAGTTGATTAAACATAGTTCAAACTGCGACTTTCCAAAGGTAAGTCTTGTTTAATCATCTATACTTAATACTGCAATCTTTTTCATATAGTCAAAAAATGCTAAATGTACTGAATTTTATACAGGTTATGTCTGGAAGACTTCACACAAACCAACTTGAATCCATTTTAACACTTTTAACATTGCAGCAAACAGACTGTCGTTCTCCACTGTTTTAAATACTGCATGTATAATGATTTTGTGTTACTTCTTGTTTATGTTTAAATCAAAGTCATCAATTCACTGAGGCTATTAATGTTGCATGGCTAACTTGAGGTGGTAAAATGATATACAACATTACATTATTTTAGGTTTATGTTGGTAGATGGGTAGAACCACTTATCTCTCATGATTCAGATGAATAACTTTCTCACCTTTTTTTTGTTTTTTTACGTTGCACCAACACAGTATTAGGTCATATGCTGACATTCCAGCTTTACTGGTGGAGGAAGTCCTCAGGTGCCCCTCCAAACATTATTTCAGGCATAAACAGCCACCTTAGTAGAACCACCAACGTTCTGCAAACAAGCTGGATAGCTTCCTAACATGAAAGAACCCAAAGTCGCTGTCAGGATTCAAACCCACAGCGGTGAAGGGCAAGTGGTTTAAAGTCAATAACCTTAACCACTCGGCCACAGACACAAGCACCCCACTTCCTCACATCTGAACAACAAAGCCTTGCAACTCAATGCAAAGCCAGGGACATGTGATATAAATTTAGAAAGCCTAATCATATAGCAATGAATGAAATCTGACATTTTTATCATATTTTCGTATTATATTTAACTTACATAAGTCTTGATTTTCTTGTACAGTACTTGAAACACGTGGAGACATCATTGCACTGCTTGAAACCACGGAAACATCTGGTCTCAAACCTACACTAGCTCTAGTCGTCTGACATGCACTCAATGCTGAATATTTTCTCTTATGATTACACAAATTGCCAGTGTCTTTTATGCTGGAGTGAGTCCATTTGATACTTATAACTTCACTGCTAAAGTTGAACACTCTGTCAATATGAAACGGACACTCCAGGCCACATTTACAGGTTCCATCAGTGACCAAGTATTGTTTAACACTTTCTGCTGATGTAAGTCTTGTACATGTTGGACTGTAAAACATAAATACACTTATCATTACATATATGATAACAAGAGCACCGCTAGGCGGAGCATTATATGCCCGAAAGTGATTTTTTTTAAAGTAAAGATGAAGCATTTGTAAGACATGGGAATTAAATAAAGTATTACCTCCTTCACAAAACAATCCTCCTTTGAAGTTTCAATATTGTGGTCCAAATGGAACTTAAGTTATGCCCCGAAAACTGTTTGCAGTTCTAAGGTAATAGTGACCTTGACCTTTTGACCCCAAAATCAATAGGAGTCTTCTACCTAATATGGACAATCATCCTATGAAGTTTGAATATGGTGGGCCACATGGAACTTAAGTTATGCTCAAGAAACTGTTCTCAATTTTTAAGTAATAGTGACCTTGACCTTGTGTCCCCAAAATCAATAGGGGTCTTCAACCCAATATGGACAATCATCCTATAAAGTTTGAACACTGTGGGCCAAATAGAAATTAAGTAATGCTCCAGAAACTGTTTTGAGTTTTAAGGTAATAGTGGCCTTGACCTTTGACCTTGTGACCCCAAAATCAATAGGGGTCTTCTACCCAATATGGACAATCATCCTATGAAGTTTGAACACTGTGGGCCAAATGGAACTTAAGTTATGCTCCGGAAACTGTTTTCAGTTTTAAGGTAATAGTGACCTTGACCTTTTGACCTTGTGACCCTAAAATCAATAGGGGTCTTCTACCCAATATGGACAATCATCCTATGAAGTTTGAACACTGTGGGCCAAATGGAACTTAAGTTATGCTCCGGAAACTGTTTTCAGTTTTAAAGTCATAGTGACCTTGACCTTTGACCTTGTGACCCCAAAATCAATAGGGGTCTTCTACCCAATATGGACAATCATCCTATGAAGTTTGAATATTGTGGGCCAAATGGAACTTAAGTTATGCTCCGGAAACCAAATTGCTAACGGATGGACGGATGGACAGACAGACGGACGGACGCCAGGGGGTATAACATAATATGCCCGAAATTCTTTCGGGCATATAATAACATTTACCTAAGGTCCTTAATATATAGCATCGATTATGACCTGGTAGTGATACTATAAAATCAAACATTACATAGCAAGTTTATTTAAAGTTCCTGTAACACAACTTTTTTATGATTTTATATCATAAATGTAATGTAATGCTCAAATGAAGATTTATCAAAAAACATTATTTGTAAAGATATTACCAAATTTACATTTCATGTTAATAAAGGGAGGTAATTAATAATTTATTTTCTTTATAGTCTAAGTCAATTTTTTCAATAACAAATGAATGCATATATTTTAATGATTACATATAATATGGACAAATATTTGCAATTCATATTTTAAATATTCTTTGTTGTTTGAAAATTGTTTTATAAGCATACATGTACTTATGTACATATATAAAATTTCACTTAAGTGAGGTAACAATGTTAATTACAATATACAGAATCTTTATTACATGTATATGTCTCAAGACTTTTTAATCAGTGGTTTATAAAACCTAATGATGAAGACTGAAATGTTATTCTAAAGAACCTGTGTACATGATGTACTCTTCTATCCATATAAAGTAATATACAGACTAGTACTCTTCCTATTCTAAAATATAGTAGTTGAGCTTAAAATTAAGGAAGGTAGAATTATGGTACTTGGGCACTGCACTTCTCACTGAGTGAAGTTTTGATCAAATTCATTCCATTCTTTAAAAGTCATATCCAAACAACAGAGTGAAGAACGGGTAGACAAAATGGTGGATGGAAGGACAAACAAAGCAGTGCCAACATGTACATGTATATGCTCCTCCCCTTCTGGAAGCATTAAAAAATCAATGTTTAAAAAAAAACAGTTTGAATACATATACATGGATATTATGATTTTTATCAATTATGTATACAATGTATATATGAGCCGTGTCATGACAAAACCAACATAGTGCGTTTGCGACCAGCATGGATCAAGACCAGCCTGCGCATCCGCGCAGTCTGATCAGGATCCATGCTGTTCGCTTACAAACCCTAATACAAGTAGAGAAAGTGATAGCGAACAGCATGGATCCTGATCAGACTGCGCGGATGCGCAGGCTGGTCTGGATCCATGCTGGTCGCAAACCCATTATGTTGGTTATGTCATGACGCGGCTCATATCAATTTAATCCTGTAAACGTAATATATAATCACCTGTAATAAACAATGGAATCTCCCTCTAATGCTCTTACCCATCCATTTGGCACCAAGATTGTTTTTGTATCAGAATCACTTGCATGATTTGATTCACTCAAATCTACTTGTGGCTTCAACTCATGCAAGATATTTTGTTTTACTGTATTTGATACATTGGCAGCTTGTAAAGAAATGCTTCCTTTCAGTTCATTTGTGCAAACTTTCAATGGCAATGTTACTCTGGAGAGAACATTAGACAGTGTTGTCACAACACCTGCTGAAATTGTATTTGATGTTGTAACAGTGCTCACTGTTGTTTTTGTAGAACACATTTTTTGAACACCAGGCTTTAACTCAACACCTTTTAAATGTTTTGTTTGTACACCTGATAATGAAATATTGTTCACAACCCTTGCTTGATTTGAAAACTGCCCAATATTCCAGTTATTGAACTCAGCGTTGATATTGTTATCACTAACCGTCCGCACTTGCATACTGTTTTCGTTTGAACTTAAATTAGGAACACATTGATTCAATAGAGTGGCAGTTTGGCTTGAAGCACCTATGATATTTCTATTAACACTCTGGTCACTTGCAGCATTTGAAACTACTGCCTGCTGGGCACCAATAGAGTTCAATCCAAGGTTTTGAAGGAAAGGGTGAGGTAAACTTTGCATATGGTGATGTAAAAGAAAATGTCCAAAACTTGGCAAAGACTGGTTAGGGTTTGCGGAGTTGGCCATATTCTGTTGGTTTTGTAAATTCTGACTCAGGTCTGTACCACCTTGATTTGCAATATGTGCTAAAAGTTGCATCTGTTGATTCGTTATGCCTGGGTTATTATTCTGTGAGTTTGTTTTTGTTAGATTGTCTATGTTTCCATTTCCAGTTGGTGATTGGTTAACAGACAGAATTCCCATGTTCTGATTGGTTATTACCTGTGATTGAGAAAGAAGGCCCGTTATCTGATTAGATAAGATATTCTGGGCATTTCCATACATTTGTTGGTTGACATTTTGAACTATTCCAGGATTTTGCATAAACACATTTTGATTCAGTCCTTGTGTGATGAAGTTTTCACTTAAAATCATTCCACCATTTTGTCCTTGGACCAAGACGTTGTTACCTTGACCATTTGATAGCAATTGATGCTGTGGTGTAAACTGTGCAATATTAGGACTCTGCACAGCAAACTGGTTCTGATTTTGAATAGTAAACTGCTGAGAAGGGCTTTGCAATGCAAACTGCTGGTTTGGACTTTGAAGCATCAATTGTTGAGTTGGACTCTGTATCATTAGTTGACCAGTGGCATTCTGGAAGGCGATCTGTTGTTGATTATGTTGTAAAGCTGCTATCTGGGGATCAAACCCCGCAGACTGTAAGAACTGTTGCTGCTGCTCAAGGGGAGAAAGTGTGGCTGTACCAATGTTGCTTCCTAGCTGCTGAGGACTCAGTTGAACAGCGACCCCGGTACCTTGTACCCCTTGATTTACTAACGTGTAATTCCTCGGCATCAATTGATAATTGGCAGTGTATATACCTCGTGGTCCTGAAAAAAAAATCACTTTATTAATATCACTTTAATTATAAGAGTATCAAGAACATTTCATGTTTTAATTAAGAAATGATAGACATGTTCATAATATAATGTTTTAATACATGTATCAAATCGAATGTATAAGCAAACTTCCGATAGATAAAAATGGCAACACGTTTATTAAATAGAAATACATGTATTAATTAACACCTAACTAAGGCTAATCCTATAAGCATCATAGCCATATCTAATATTCATAATAATGCTGAAACTGATACTCTAGACATAAATCTGAATGCTTGATAATTTCCTTTGTATATCTTTACCTTCTATAACTATGCCACTGTTACGTCAGAGGAAATATTTTGTATCACAGAACTGTATATTTAACTAGCATTTGTCGTCTTTCTAAGACTCAATAATTAAGACTTTAGCTCACCTGAGACATTTATTCCACATTAAGGCCCATGCTGCTATTTTGATAAGACACATTGTCAAAAGTATCAAGCAATTTTAGGTATTGTAAAACAAACTTGTAAAATATAATGTAATTCTGTTCATAAAAAGAATATTAGACCAAAGTATATTTACTTTATATATTTATGTAAATCAAACACAGAGAATTCAAGATTTTCCCAATAAAGAAATTAACTTCAATAAAAATTATCTAAGTAGTTAAGTATTGATTTTCCTCTTGTTATATTTGACAACGTTCTGCAGTGTTCGTTATATATACAATGTATATCACTACAGCTTTAGGAGCAAGTATTACTAAACTATAAACACTAGCAGAGACAACACATCAATACAAGCTTTGATAGGATTAGAAAAAAAATTAAATAAATTCATGAAATAATAAAATAGTTGATAATAAATAAACCTAGTTTAGACATACAATGCTAGAGATTTTGGAGTATAAAACAGGAAGTTTCAATTATAAATCACACATAACATGTAAATTATTCCTTAAACCTTTAATCTTTTTACTTTTCCTTAAATCTTAGTAAATTTCTCTCAGGTTGGATTATATTTAAATATTCTGGCTCATCTGGAGGCATGCAGCTTTAAGTGATGTACAGACAGAACTGACTCTATACTGGTGGACTGTGGTATATAAGCAAATAATTTTTCAAAAGTTGAATTTTGCTTTGGGCACAGAAGGTACTTTGCAGAAAAACACTATTTTAATAGCTTCCCTGCATTCAATGTGCTTGTACACAGAAAAAAAAACATATACACAAACATACCTAACATTTGCTGGGCAGCTGCCTGCTGAGCCAACAATTGTTGTTGTTGCTGCTGCTGTTGTTGGCCCAAAAACCCAGCTGGTGGTCCAATAAATTGTAAACCTGTGTGAGCAGCCATGACAGTTGGATTGCCAGCCTGTTGTGGACTATTGACTGGTAAAACTGCCTGTTGGATAACATTAGGTTGCGCAACTGACTGTTTAACTGAAGCATTCTGGGTGGTGAAAAGTTGTTGAATGCCAGGTAACTGTTGCAGAATCTGACTCGTGGACTGTGGCTGACTATTTGCAACGTTCATACTAAAATTCAGTGATACAAAACCGGAATTATCCATTCCAGAATGTCTTAGTGTTCATACAAGTATCCATCTTCCCACATATCTCCATGGTAAAACCGTTTTAACATTTTCCTATCATAACAAAGATAATTCTGTCTATATGGGAACTTGTTCCTTTACAACATACTGCTGGTCCCATTGTTTTTCTACAAAAAGAAAACATAGTTCTGTTAAAACGTCAGACACTAAAATCTTGATCTGCTAATATATAAATTATACTATATTAATAAAATAGAGCAATTTATTCTCTAAAACATCTAACCTTAGTTAGAAAACTTGTTAGTAAAAACAGATTGTAATTTTGTCAAAATCTGTGTCAGAGTTACATTGTATGTACTATTGCATACAGCCGCTGTTGGTTATCTCAGTCCAGCATTTTTCCCTTATATAAATGGTACTAAAAACGGACACATTCACAATCATAAAGAATCCTTCACAATTTTCTGAGAGGGTCTGACTGATTAGTTCACAATTCTGATGAAAATTTACAATTCTGACCAATTAAAAAAAAATTTTTTTTTCATACAATGATGCATAAGCTCTCAGTAAGTTGTTGAGTCATGTTCTTTATGTTTACATGTCTTCTAAACCAGGCATTCACCCCATCAAGTGCACCATGGAGATACAAAATAACTAAACATGTACATTTGTATTTAAGTATGAGTCTTGTTTGGGTAACATAGTTGAAAAAGCAAGCATCTTAATAAATTGACAAAACATTTGAGCAATTGTCATTGGGTAAATAAAATCGCAATTTCATGAAAAATAATCACAACTTTAATATTTAAAAAAAACATCTATGCATTTTTTCTCACAATTATCATGGTACTGGTTCAAGAGTTATGGAGTCAATAGTCATCTGATAAGGCCATTAAAATTTAATTTAAGAGTGTAAGGTGTAATGCCGGTTTATTTCTAAATAAGATGAATAATTTTCTGACTGTGAATGTTCAAATTATTGGTATTTACATCATATTTCAGTTTCATATTTTTCAATATGGAAAGGGGGCATAACTCTAGAATTATCATTCACTCTGTTACATCCCTCTTCCTATGAATGTGCCATCTCCTAATTTGCAAGTATGCCAAAAATTAGTAAAACAACTCCTACAGTTTTCATAATTGGTTTATTGAAAACAAATTTTAACAAAAAAAAAATTAAAATTGTAAGTAGAACATGTAGTAAGGGGCATAACACAAAATATAGTATTTTTCAAGATCATGGGCCTTGTCTTACATGTACCCTTTCTCAAAAAGAAAAAAATGAAGTAGGCCAGGTATCATTCATTTGATAAAATTCATAACATTCTTCTTAAAAAAGCAATTTAACAAAAAAAATTAAAAGGGGCATTACTCCCAAAAAAAGCGTTATAAAAATGTTCCTTGTCTTACAACTAAGTCTTGCCTGGATAAGCAAGTATCCAACCTTAAACTTTTTGCAACAATATCCTAGTGATTATTATAGCTCTGACAACATAATTTCATTCTTCCAAACATGTGAACTAAAAATCTGACACTGATGTTATATGAAACCTGTTATGTATAATATACAGTATAATATATAATTATGCATGTACCACAGATACTGGCTTGATTGTGAAGCAAACAACAGAAGAAGAATATACATGTTTTATCTAATAATTTTACCTAAAATACCAAGAAAAAATACTGCCATTAATGTTATATTGACTTGTGTGGTTTATGACCTGGACCATTATTGTACTGAAACCATTACAGAGTTTGAGACCTCTTTCAGCATAGTGACACTCCCTCAATAATTGACACCTGGAGTGGTGTTGATAAACAAGTTAATTTACATGTCATAAACAGCAGGTGTCCTTTAATCTGCTTATGTAAGTGGAAGTGAACAAATAAGAGGGTTGGCCATAATGGATTAGTTGCAGTTGAATTACTGCAAGAGAATGAATTGAAAGAATGAATAAATGAAGAGTGAACTAATTACCAAATCATAGTAGAAAAGAGTCTGAAAGTGCAATACTGAACAAATGAAAATGGGTATTCATTTATTACAATATTCATGGTTTAGGAAGAAAGTTCAAGAAATAATCTTTGAGATAGACTTGCTGAACTCAAAAATTTGTTTTAAATCAACTTAAAATCATTCACAAAAGTGAAAACTGTATCTCTAAAAACAACAAAACAGTATCGCAGGAGATTTAAAAGATTTACAATGACTTTTGGGGAATTCATATCATCTCACATAAAAACTACTGTATTTGCTTACAATAAAAATGATTTTATTCAAATGATGGACATTCTTTCTATCCTAACCTTAATATTTTGATACATCAGGATCTTGACTCGGAAGTAACTTTTTATATTTCTATGCATCAGGATCTTGAATACTCAGTAGTACTTTTTCAGTTTAATAGACAGATTCTCTCTGTAATGTAACTCTATTTGGACTATGTTATATAAATGTTTTATACAATATACAATTAAAAGCCTTGACAAAATTAATGATTGATTCAACCAGAGACATAGATAACGTTATCTATGTCTCTGGTTCAACATTCTGGTGTACATCAATGATCATGTATAACATAAGAATTTCAGAAGGAAAATCATTTGCACCTCTCTGCGTGACTTGTAAAGTTGTGTGTTCTTAATACTTAAAGGACCTTTTCACCTTTTGATTGTGTGATTAAATGGGCAATCCCTTAAAACATAACACCTTTTGTCCAATTATTTAAGTTCAATGGTTTTGTTGTTATAATCTTGGGACAGTTTGAAATTATACAAATTGGCATAAAATAGGTTTGGCAATAAATGTAAAAGACAGTGGTAAGATGGAGTGGTCAACATTGCACTTGTTTCTAGTTACTCCATAAATAATCTAATTAGTAATTCATTAGATCTCTAGTCCTATGGATCTCAGAGAGGATTCTTTACAGCCATTGACACTTTGTCAATTTCTTAAATATTGCATATTTCAAAAATGAACAAACAAAACAACTAAAAATTGAACTTGGCATCATTAATTTAATATAAAAAATTACGTAGCTTTGCATAATTTCGAATCAAGATTAAACAGGTGCCCCGTGAAAACGTAAACAAAGTTAAGTATTGTGTAATACGGGTCATAATTTACCATGTTTGGAAGAACTGTCGTTAGGATATCACACTGTATTAAAGTATTTATGCCTCGTATGTAAACATATTGGTTAATGTTGGAATTAGAGCCTCTTTTTTGAAAATTTGCGTATTTTGCTGCTCTTTTTTAAAACAGGAAGTGGTTTCTGCGTCGGCGCACATTCCCATAATGCTGCAGTGTCCTACTTTCAGTTTCTACTTTCTTTTTGGAATACACGCAAGTTAGTGTCATACTGACTACTGAACAGGGCTCAGCACAGTTACACCAATTTGTTATAATGGCGTTAGCCTGTCAACAGAACAGTTATTTAAGAGAGGTAAGCAGCTTAAATTATTGATGGAATGTTATTAATGTATTTTTCAATGAATTTAGTACACTTACTAAGTGAATAGGTGATTAATATTTACCTACATCTAATGAACTGAATATGAAGTACATTGTCATTGAAAGTAAAGCCTAAAGGACACATTGTTGGTGTTATCTTCTGTCCCAGGTTTTATATTTAAAACTTTCAATGAAATAATCTGCCCGTGTACATGAAAAAGCAGCAGATAACAATAATGATTACTTTAAGAGGTAGCATTAATAACTTAATTAATAATTAAATTTTCTCTTAACATTTTAGTCAGTAGTTTCCATTCCAGGAAGACCTGGGGATTGACTTGTTTCTAAAAATAATACAAAGATTGCATCATTCTAAATAATGTCAGTTAAATTCAGTACATGTAATTAGATGTACATAAGTGTCAGTTTTCTTATATAAAACAATTGTAAATTATTAAGTATGCATGCATTTTCATATTAGAATTTACTGAATTATTTTAAGTTGTCTAAACTCAAGTAGCTAGTAGAGCTGTTATAAAGCTTGTATTGATTTGGATTTTACAGTTATGATCTTGAGCTTGCACATAAAATTACTGATAAGTTAAATTTGTAGACTTTTCTTTGTTAAATGACATACAGTAAGGATATATGTCATTTACAATACCTCATGCTTTTATATATGGTTTACAGGATAATAGGATAGTAAAAGTTGTGTAAATTCCTGTCTGACACTTGATATTCTTCTTTCAATATAAAGATACAGTAAATTTTATTCAAAGTGATACATGAGATCCTTATGTAATATATATACATCATGTTAGAGCTTGTTTATAAAACTGATAACAATTTAGTGGCATTGATTGTTTTAAAAGTTTACAGCTGTTATAATCTACAAAGTAAGTCTTGGTCATTCTTTTCTGTACTTGATAAAATATATTTGAAATTCACAATTATTTTAATCCGTTTAATAGGAAAAAAAGAAATGACAAATATGAAAATAGTTAATGCAGTTTGTTTAAATTAGCCTCAATGTTAATCTAAACTTTGCTGTTCTTAAAGAAATTTTATTATGAATGTAGGGGCATAATTATAATTCATTTCACCCTTTTTCATGAAGCGAACTATTGCAATAATTTTATTTCTTAAAAGTTGGATGCCAATTTAAAGAGCAATTTTATTTCTTAATTTTTTTTATAAAAGGTGAAGATGACATGATAATTTTTACTGCAGTAATTTTTTCCAAAATACAAGTTCATTAGCCAGGTGAGGTGTACTAGATTAGTTCAGGTAAATGTGTTTTATTTTATAGAATTGTAATATTATGCAGACTCCTGAAGTTGTTTTGCCAACTAGTCCCAAAAGCCAAATCAAGTTAACTCCCTTGACAAGTGACATACTATTAAAGTGGAGGGGATACATGTTGTTATATTAAATGCTGACATGCACAAGTTATAGAAATGTTTTGTTTTTTAAAATTTCAGTTTGATACAAAAGTAAAGAGCTGTACTGCAGGTGAGTTAAAGGTAACTCAGAATGGAAAGAAGGAAGTTCTGAAAGGTTATGAAGTGATTCTAGAAGATACAGTTCTGTTCCCAGAAGGAGGTGGTCAGGTATTTCTTTCTTCAGTGTACATAATGCCCTCGGTGTAAACTTAGTCCAGTGTGTTAACATTCCAGGAGTCTCTATGGTAAACTTAGTCTGTCTACAGTGTAAACTTAGTATTTATTGTTAACTAAATATTAAGCGTAAATTAAGTCTTTAGTGTAAATTTAGAGTATATAGTGTAAACTTAGTACATTGTTTGTAGTGTAAACTAAGTCTTTAGTGTAAACTTAGAGTCTATAGTGTAAACTTAGTATTTAGTGTAAGTTAAGAGTCTGTAGTGTAAACTTAGTATTTAGTGTAAACTAAGTCTTGTGTGTAAATTTAGAGTCTATAGTGTAAACTTAGTATTTAGTGTAAACTACATCTTGTGTGTAAACTTAGAGTCTATAGTGTAAACTTAGTATTTGGTGTAATCTAAGTTTTAAGTGTAAACTTAGAGTCAATGGTGTAAACTTAGTATTTAGTGTAAACTATTTAGTCTTAAGTCATGTTAAAGTTTAAACTTAGAGTCTATAGTGTAAACTGAGTCTTTAGTGTAAATTAAGAGTCTGTAGTATAAACTTAGTATTTAGTGTAAACTAAGTCTTGTGTGTAAATTTAGATTCTATAGTGTAAACTTAGTATTTAGTATAAACTTAGTCTACATGGTATGCTTAAGAGCCACATCTCAATAAATCAAATACTGAACAATATTAAGTAGTTCATGATTGTACCTTAACACTATGGCTGAATTGTTTTATATGAGTCTAGGCCCTTTTTCTCTAACAAAAACTGCCTCAGATATGAGCTAGGAGGCATTCCCAAATGTCAAAGAGTATAACAATGCCTTTCTGATAGTGAAGTAAAGCAAATAGTGTTTTATAATGTTGTTTCTATTCAGATGTTCTGGTCATATATTATTAAGTAAGTGAATTGCAAATTGATTATGAAATATGATGATTACAGTAAAATATGTGGAGAACAAAATAATGATGAGCATTTACTTCGTTTTTTTCAGCCAGATGACAGAGGCACAGTAAGAAATGTTTGATAATCTTTAAACTATTCAGATATGACCTATAAACTGTTCAAGTTTAAAATCAAAAGTGTTCAATTTTGCAAGATTTATTACGTTCTTGACTGAAAAAAATTGCTTTTCATTTGAGCAAAAGTGATAACATTGTATTATATGGAGATAAATTAGTTTTGTATATATGTGCACATGACATTTATTTTTTGTAACTGTACAAATATATGAACACTGAAACAAATAATTTAACTCTAAAATGGCAAAACATTAAGATGAAAAGTATTGTCAAATAGAGGGTTATTGCTTAATGAAAAGTGTTCCATATCTTTATAGAATATTATGTTTGATATAAGTAATGATAATGAAGGGTTAAATGATGTTTACAGATAAATGATGTTCCGGTGTTACGTATAACAAGACGTGGAACAGACGCTGTCAACTTTGTCACCAGTGAGATACCACCTGGTACGGACGTACATCTCGTTGTTGATTGGACAAGAAGGTTTGATCACATGCAGCAACATTCCGGCCAGCATCTCATCACGGCTATAGCAGAAAACGTGTATGGATATAAAACTACAACATGGTAACATCTCAACTTTTTTGACATACACTTATAAAGACAGATCTTAATTTGTTAGGGAAAAAAAATTAATGCTTAGATGGTATGGTAATGTATTTTATATTATATAAACTGTACATGTATCGGTTATGTAGTTGCCTATAAACAAGGCCATTAAAATGATATGCTGTTTTCAAAAAAGAAGAAAGATTTAATATTAGCATGTTTTTGTTTTTGGATTGTCATTTTAGTTCAATCAATTTTGCTTGATTATTGAAGAATTGGAGTTTTTCTGTTACTTTTACTAATTTTTGGGGTTTGAGGAGAGATGTTGTAGTTTCAAATATTACTGTCAGCCTGCTAACAGAAACGAATTATATATACCCATGCAGCTAGTGCAGACCAAGATCACAAGATTAGCTGGCATTCCTTGTGTTTCATCATGGTCTACATTGTTTACTATTTATTCACTACATATTTAGGAATTTTCCCTAAAATGATGAATAATTTTGCCTAAATTGATAGATGGGCATGTACATTTAAGATATTTTAGGGGGGAAATGGTTTAAGTCATATGATTACTAAACAGCTTTACATGTTGAGGGAGACACAGCCTTATTCTCACATCATTTCAGATGGAAGCAAGTACATTTACTTAGGTTAAACCACAAATCTTCTTCAGTTAGCATGAGATCTCTTCCTTACTTGTAACAAATCAATTTACTGAACAGTTTCAGTCTTTGTCTTTTAATAACTAGTCCATGTATGTGCATGGCTTTACTAACAAAGTTTATGTATTATGCAGGAATCTTGGAGACAAAGTGTCGTTCATTGAACTTGACACTCCAAAAATGACAGCTGAAGAAATGGTCAATCTTGAATGTATCTTAAATGAGAAAATACGTGAGGGTGTAAAAGTTTACCCGACATTGTATCACGACAAGGATGATCCGGAACTAGCAAAGGCGAGATGTCGTGGTCTACCGGACGACCACGAAGGAGCTGTACGTGTTCTCACAATAGATGGAATAGATTCCTGTTTATGTTGTGGAACTCATGTCTCTAATGCTTCTGATTTACAGGTAACCTAACTTTTTAAGCCTGACTATATTTTCATTCGTAAACGTTTACGATATTTTTTACCGTTTAATCGAAATGACTATATTATCTTACAAAATTTCTTGATCATTGCCTGTCATCATGGATTTTATCAATTTTATTTGGTTTATTCCAAAGTCAATAACGGTGTTTACAACCTTCCACACAGCATTGCTTTGCAATAATTGCTTGTGACATAAAACATGTTTGTAAATTTGATTTTTCTTTGATCTTTCAAAGAGAGAAATGGGGATTCAATGCAAAAAATGTGTGCCGACACAATCGTGATGACCCTTGAACATTATTTATTTATTTGTTTTGTACATGTGTTAAAAATAGAAAGTAATTAAGTCATCATCTGGCTATTCGAATACATGATGTAGTATAGTACATAGAAGTACCACCGTTTAAACGGTATCGTTTCGGTTATTACCAATCGTGTAAACGTTTACAAAAAATTGTAAACATGGGAGCCTTACCACTAACATTAAAAATGGATTTTCATAATTTGTCTCATGCAGCCTTATTTATTTGGCATGATAATATATTGAGATTGATGCAGTGTTTGGTATAATCAATCAACTATAACCATATGTTTTCTTTTCCAATATAAATTTTATCTGTATAGTTTAATAAGATAAGTATTTGCAGTAAGATAACTAAGAAATTTATTGTTGTGTAAATTTTTGACTTTGTAGATGATAAAATTGCTGTCAACAGAGAAAGGAAAGAGGAAGAATTCTACAAATCTCAACTTTGTATGTGGGAAGCGTGTCTTAGACTACTTAAGTAGATGTTATGATGTGGAAAAGTCACTTACAGCTCTTTTAAAGTAAGTTTTACTTTTAACTATATACAAAATACCAGGGCATATATAGTTAAGTTGTTTAGGTGTCTGCCTGGCTACCCATTGATTATTGGTTGAGCCTTAATTGGGTCACAACCATGTTTCCTTATCTGACACCAGATATTTAAGGGACTCGAATGAGAATTTTTGACATGACGGAACTGGAAATTAATATTTATTATAATCACTCACCATACATATATTTATGTGATTATGTTTTATATTATGTATTTACTGCATGTTAACAAGACAATGTACATTTGTATATGTCTAGAAAATAAAAGATCTGCTCTGTTCATACAAATTATAACATCTCTATGCTTACCTGAACTTCTCAGTTTCTTCTTTTAAGACTTTTCATAAAGTTGTCCCCCTTGTATGCTTATCTGAACGCAGTTTGAATGAACTATGAACAGGCAGTTGCAACAGCATAAGGTATAAATATTATTTGTTTCATTGTAGAGGACCATTAGAACAGCATTATGAACTTACTGAGAAAGCTGTGAAGGGGTCAAAGAATTCTCAAAAGGTAAATCTTCTGAAGAAATTTCAAATCCATTCAACAGACAGCTTACTTGTATTTGTAGGACTTGTTTTTATTTGGTCAGTATGTTAGAGGTAAAAGTCAAAGTACATGTTTCAATTCATTTACTGTTTCATCTAAATCTGTTAAATTTCATAGGATGATTCACTCGATTGTGAAAGTTACCCCTATTGTTCATCACGTCAGATTTTCAGAGGATAATGTATGTTTAAGAATACAAACTGTTTCCAAAGCCATATGATCCACAGGATTTAAAGGTAATTTTTATTGTGTTACAGAAGGGGTAACATACAAGGCTTTCTTTCACAATCTCACTTTGTTTTCATCATATACTATGAAGGTACATGTTTATATATAAGATATACATGTTTGATGAATATGATGAAGCTCAATCTGATGTTGTAAAATCAAAAGCTTAAATTCTTTTGTTTTTGAAGGGATCAATGTAAATGTGTTTGATTGCACTTCCTTATAATAAGTGCCTTAAATTTGCATTATTATGCTGACAAAGGTTTAGTGTAGTTTTGTATTTTTCCATTTCATAATTTTGTTAGATTGGATATTTCAGACAATACAAACATTATTGAGAGATTTAGCCACACTTGAGGCAGAGAAGTTCAAGTCTCAACAGACAAAACCTCCATACTTTATATATCACAGGTAACACACTGAGCTCATTATTTATTCCAGACTTAATCACATTAACACAGGACATGTATGGCGCAATATTTAGATGATGTTCATACTTTCTTTGTTGACTGTAAACCATTTGCCCCTCACGTCTGTGGGTTTGAATCCGGACAGGGTCTTTGAATTCTTTCATGTGAGGAAGCTATCCAGCTAGCTTACAGTGGTTCTACTCAGGTGCCCGTTCATGCCTGACATATACAGAAGGGCACCTGAGGTCTTTCTCCAACAGTAGAGCTGGAAAGTCACCATATGACATATACTATGTTAGTGTGACGTAAAACCAAACCAAAAAAAAATACTTTCTTTGTAATTGTATTAATCAAAAATAAAAAAAATGTCAATAGTTTTAGATTTACATTTTAAAATTTATTTGTGTTTAGTGACTGTACAAAGGTTGTTTTTGTTTTTGGAAGTTAAATGGCATAGTCTGTACCAGTGTAGATGTCATTATGTTGAAACGTCATAAACAGATGTTCTACAGTTAGTTTTGCCCTCATTATAATATTGTAATGTACACTATACATGTAATTGATAGTATAAAAACCTTGTAACATTTTATTACAGTTTTAATTATACACTCTTGTACTGATTATCAATCATAACAGTGTTTAAAAATACATACTGGTAATGTAACCGTCATTGTGTTATTGCAGAAAAGAAGGGGACCTAGATTTTTTGAACACACTCTTAAAAGAGATTGGGGATGAGGTAATATTGGTTAAATCTTTCACTTGTGAAATATGTCATGGATTAGAAACAATATTGATGTATGTTTATTTTTCTGTCGATAAATAATCAATACACATTTAAAAAAAGTTGATAATTTTGACTAATTAAATGTCTAGAAATTATGAAAATTTACCCAAAACGTACAGAAGCAGGGCCCATGTCTAACATTATGCTGTTGTTATCTAGTGGAAATATTTCACAGCAAAAATGACCAAAAAAAATGGTCTTGATAAAAATCATGCAATGGGCTTTTATAAACAAGAACTGAATCATTTAAACAGGTATGAAAGTGAATGACAGACAAGTAATTATAGGTAATTATTGATATATCAGTAGATCATACATGTATATCGTTGTTATGCCTTGCACTGAATCAGTGACAGCTCTAACTCTATTACACTCAAACTTTGATGGTTTGGCTATCAGGTATGACTCTCTAACATTCTTAATCTTTTCAAAAGCATATTAAAATACTGGTTATTTTATCAAGTTGAGTGACTTTGGGGTACATATACAGCTGAAATATTAACTGTTTATGTTCTGATGTGTGACAATGAAGAACTCAACAAACCTTTATCCCAGTGTAATGCATGACTATGGATAATGTTAATTTATCATGTATGAAATAAAATAGCATATTGTGATTTAAGTAAATTAAATGCATACCAGTCAAAATTTTCAGTTATCAGACAGGATATTTACTGACATAAGCCATCAGTTAAGATGCAGATTTGACTGTTTATCCATGTAGTCTTTTACTGTTAGTAAAGTTCATTGCTTTCAAAATTATGAAAGCTGGCTGATGATTGGCTGTGTGAAAGGTCACCAGAAATGACTTTGTATTTGGTCACGGTCAGATCTAGAAGCAGAGCATTATATAGAGCTGGTTTTAATCAGATTGTGACTCAGTTTTAATGTTTCACACTAAAGAATGTTTAATTTCAATGCACTGCCAAGTACGTTATACAATTTCAGCAAGGTTAGGGTTAAATAACTTGTAATATGCTTAAGTATAGACGTTACTATTTTTAGACTGTGTTATGTCTGTTAACGGCTGGGGAAGACAAGGGAACAGGTTTTGTTATGATGTCTGGTCCAGAAACAATTGTCAAAGATCTTGGTCCAAAGTAAGTAAATAAGACTGGTGGTTCAACATGTTTATTTTGTTTTACAAATCTTAAATTCTTTAAAAAAAAAGATTTAAAGTAGCATTGACCTCCAGATGCTAATTTTCATAAAATTTTAAAAATGTATTTAAATGAAAAATCATGTGAAGTGAACAAAAAAATAATTTACTCATTGTAATGCACTTACAATCCACGTTAATTACCAAAAAGAGGTCAAAATATGAACAAAATTTAATAAAGCAGTGGCAATATGGTGATTAATACTGCAAAATCAGTAAATGATTGGACATAACATGTAAATTATTACTTTTTAACTTCTTTTAACTTTTCTTAAAATCTTAGAATAAACAGACAAGTCACACAAACACGAACATTCAGTAATTAAATTTTACTGCATACGTTTCGGCTATATGCCTTTCTTTTTTTTCTTTTTTTCTTTTTTTTTTTTTTTCTTAAAATCTTAGTACATTTGTCTCAAGTGTTTGATTTTCTTGAAATATTTTGGCTTATCTGGAGGCATACAGCTTTAAGTGGTATTAGGAAATCAAAAGGAGTAATCTGAAAATGATACAAAATCTGAATGTTTGGTTTAAGCTAAAAAAAGAAATAAATACAATTTTAATAATTTTTATTCTTTGTTGAAATTCAATAAAACGCCTTGAAGTTCATAAATTTTGATAAAAGGAATTTCATCTTGAAGGTGGAATCATAAGTGAAAGAATACAAAATAGTGTTTTAACTGTAAAAATAATAAAATGTACAAACATTTTAGAGAAAAAAATATTTATTTGATCTTGTTTTTTGAAAACATTCTGTACTTTTCAGCATGTGAGTCACAGCATTTTGTTTCTTTTATTTTAATAATAATTCAGAGTGATGGAAGTGTTCGAAGGGAAAGGTGGTTACAGTAAAGGAAGATTTCAAGGAAAGGCAAATAAATTACAGAACAGAACAAAGGCTGCCAAGCTGGTGCAGGAATATCAACAAGGAGACTTGCAGCAGACAACAAATGAGTCTTGATGATGTTTTGTTGTTATAGACAATTAAGTTTTTATTACAGACACATAGACATCCATGTTAAATCAAAAAAAGTATTTCTTGTGGATGAAATAGATTCTCTGTATAACACTCTTTCCTAATTTAAAATATATTTATTAATTTTGTTTAACACAAAGGTCAGGTAATTTGAATTTCATAGAATATGAAAATTATGTTGAACATTAATTTTAGTTAGGTCATTAATTTAAGCATATTTCACAACAACAAGGGCGGTCCTTTGCCCATGTAGTTATTGGTTAATTTTTGTTTTTAACAAAATTAACAGTCTTCCTATTTCTATCAAACACCTTTCAAATTTGATTTCAATTATTTCACTTTCAACATGCTTGTTTATCTATTGAAGAAAAAAAGAAAGATTAAAAAATTAGAAAAAAACAACTGTTTAATTTTTGTATCATGACCTCAATTCTACAGAACAATGAATTGACCAATTTGGTATCCGAAACATCCTTTCCTTCCTCATCCTACCTATATTTTCCTTCAAAGAGTCTATTCTGTCATGTTTCTGTTTGTAGTCTGCCAGCTGGTTGTCTGAGCAGACAGAAAATCTGTAATTTATTTCAAACATACTGCCTGTAAAAAGGAGTTTTAGTTTGGTTGATTCTTTACTTTATGTTTTATAATGACTACTCCAGTGTATTGCTGCATAGAACAGCTCATTCATGTCAAAATTGAAGAATATGATACACGCACTTCTCACTTTATTTTCATCTTGAACTTTTTACCATGTCAATATAAGTGATTTTCCAAGACCTATAACTCTAGTATGGAACTTGACAGATACATGTATGTGGCCCTTTGTTAATTTTGAAAATTAATGGTGCAACACCAATCTTCAAAACTACTAAGGATGTTTCCTTAAACTTCATACAGGTCTTCATTATGATAACTGTGTGCACTTCCAAAAACCCATAGGTGGCGGCATGGCCGAGTGGTTAATGCGTCAGACTAGTAATCTAATGATCGATAGCCGCAAGGGTTCAAACCCCGTCGGGGGCAAGTCGTTTTTTCCTTGAGCAAGAAACTTTACACTCATTGCTCAGTACTGGTTGGTTCCAGGAACGGATTCGAAAGTGTGACTATAAGCTAATAGCTTCCTACACAGTCGAACTAAAATAAATTCTGTATAAACCAAAGACCTATATTTTGACTGAATAATTGCCCTTTGTGAATTTTAAGTTTCACATGCAACATTAATCTTCAAAACTTCTGAAGTTATTCATTCGAAACTTACTTCTAAGTAATTTTATGTTTTGGACTTTAAGGTCATTTTCCAAGACACATGACTCAGGCATGGATTGTTAATGAACAAAATACCTAGGTAACTATCCATAACTATATATCATTATATATTTTAAATGAAAATTTTGTCTTTGTTAATTTCAAGGCACTTGTTTAAATCAAGCACCAATAATAATAAAGCATGCTGTCCTGGCAGCTTTTTTATTGTTGGTAATTGAAAGTAAATATCTTAACAGTTACTAGGGCTATAATACTGGTGTTACTAACTTTACTTGTTATTCCTTTGCTGAAATATAATACCTATATTCATTAAAGTCTCTGTACCTAAAAAACTTAAGGTCTAATATGATAAACCAGATGCTCAAATGAAGAATTATCAATATCATAAGTTACAAAAAGCATAACTTAAAAATATTTGACCGAATTTAACAGTTCATGTAAATAAAGGGAAGTAATTAGAAATATATTTCTGATGAGTTTGTTCATATTTTCAATTTAAACAAAAAATCAACAGTTCATGTAAATAAAGGGAGGTAATTTGAAATATATTTCTGATAGCAGTTTCTTCATGTTTTCAGTAAATAAATAAAATATATTTGTAATGTATATAAAAATTCTTGTATAAATATAACAAATTCTTGAAAGATTAAATATTGTGTTGGAAAAGAACTGAGAACTGGCTATTTCATTATGTTTAGATAATTTGGGGATAAAAGGATTTGCAATATTCAATATGACAAAATTGAGTGACAATGCAATAAAACTGGACTTTTTGGAGAGTTGACACCTTTGTTGAAAAGTGTTTGACAACATTATAACAATTTATGCAGTCTTCATCAAGATATACTTTCTGTCGTGGGTACTTGTGTGCCCAAAATATGCAATGCGTATGAAGAAAATGTTACTAAACGGTCTCCAAACACAGAGTTTTCACAATCTTACCACAAAATGATGCTAAACATTCAAACAAACCCTTATTGAAACATTTATTGAGAATGGGCGCAAAAAAAAGAATTGCCGGTCAAAATTCCATTTGAGCTCCTTATGTGCTGAAGAGATCCATATAAAGGTGATATAGGAAGCCATCTACAAATCTATGGATCACTTTAATATACTTATTGAATAGCCAGTCTAAGCCAATTTAAACAATTAAAGTTCTGTAGCTTTCCTGAAAGTATATTAGTCTATGTGTTTGGTAATTAGATATCACTACCTCAATAGGCTAACTACCTGTTGCTAGCAATATAAAATAATATCTAGAATATACCGAGTATATAAAAATTTTGACACAGAGCGAATACTACTGGTATGATAAATAATTTCCCACTAAAAAAAACAACGGAATGTGGACAATATTAAACAGCTAACAAACAAAATGGGCCATATCTCTGTAAAGCTTTTGTTTCATATAATGTTTCCCTAAATTATTTAAATTAGTATTGATAAAAAACTTCACTTCAAGATTCCTCAAGTGTATCTAATAGATTTTCCATTCAAAGGCACAAGTATTTTCTTATTGATTGTCATGTAGTGAATTGCAAGTAAACTTCTTCATTAAAACTGTCATCGAAAAAAAATATTCTACTCTCCTGTCAAGTAAACAACGCAAAATCAAATAAATATATTTATGACAATGGTAAATGAAGAATCATAAACTTAAATCTATTTATAATTTTGCAGCAAACTGTTATTGTAACATATAATATATAATCAACACCGATAAGATATGCTTTTATTTGTAGTAATTTATAGTGACATTGGGGAGCTGAATAGAAGTAACGTGTTATACTAGTTGATATTATGTTTTCGTTTTAGTTTGATTTTTTGTAGGTGGTATTCACATAATATTGTATAAAATAAAGGTACATGTACTCTATGACAACAATGATACATGCCAAATACTGTAATACGTGTGTATTGTACTAAGGGGTGAAATAATTTGAAATAATTTTAATGAAACAAGTGATGGCATTTTACTTCCTCAAACCTCGCTTTAACCGTTATCGGAATAAGTGACGCTATAAAAGCTCCTATATGTGTACGTTTAAAAAGGCCACTGACTTACGAATATAGCGGTAATCTATGCTTACAGTATACTAAATGTCTTTTATCTTTTATGGTGATGTTATCCAGGCTCGTCTTTGGACAATGTGTCTACATGTATATCGAATATATTAGTTTTTATTACAGAAAGATACACAAAAGAATAAAACATTTATTGTTTTATGGAAGTGATCCGTTATTATCTTGATGATTTCTATATCATGCACCTATGGATCTTTTAAGCACATATGGAGCTCAGATGGAATTTTGATCGGCAATTCCTTTATTTTGAGACCAATCTCAATAAATGTTTCAATAAGGGTTTGTTTGAATGTTTAAGCATCGCTTGGTGGTAAGATTTTGTGACAACTCAGTATTTAGAGTCTGTTTAGCGGCATTTTCTTCATACGCATTGCATATTTTGGGCACACCAGAACCCACGACGGAAAGAATATCTCAAAGAAGACTGCATAAAAATCCAAATAAAAATGGGTAAATATAGAGGAAAGCCAGGAGGGTAGAAACACATTTCGATATTCTTAATAAAAGGGATGATATTTTTCCTGTTACTCACAAACCCATGTGCAATTTATTTTATTACCCCGAACAAATACTTTAATCATTTAAAAATTTCAGCTTAATGTTACAAAACTGAACCAAGAGTAACAATAACTTAACTATACTTACATGTTCGTTCTGAGTGTACTGAAGAAATTAATATTCTTTTATTCTTAAAGCAAATGATGATATCTACACAATTACTGAGCTGTGATTCATAATTTCATGTAGAATCAAAACACAAACCAATTTATACGGTTGTATGATCTGTGAAATCTGATCATATCCTGAATATTCATCAAATGTGTTTTAACCATAGCCATTTACGATGATATCCTTCCTCTGTCTATCACATCTGTTAGACTTAAACCAATTTGTTACTGGGTATGCTAAGGAAGATGTGATATCGAATTTTGAAATTCATATTAGCTAAAAGTGATGAAAATTGAGACAATATAAATTGAAATATATAGAGATATATCTAGCAAAAACGATCTTTTAACTTATATATGTTTGTACTTAGATGGCCTTATGGCAAAATCCTGGTTGATGACGTCGTATTCGAATGACCCGACATCATTATAAAATCACTGTTTGGAATATATTATTTATTAAACAACACTATGAAATAATCGACATATTTCTGTTTCTTCAGAATAAATGATCACAATTAATATAATAAAATGAATTGGTCTATAAAAGAAGGTATGTAATACCATAAATTTATAATTTTTGTATCATACGTGACAGTAACCACAAAAATAATTAACTATGGATGGTGCTGGTAAGTAAAATATTATTTTTCATCATATAAATGTCAAAACTACAATCAACATTTTTCTTTCAATGAATATTTCATAAGAATATCCACATGATACATTTTTTATTGATTTTGTCAATATTTGAAATATCAATGGAATAATACTTATGTCGTTAGCGCACACATCACAAAATACCGGTACAATGGAGACAACAGTGTTTAAATTGTAAACTTACAAGTTGTAGTATATTTCTCCCCCTTGAATAAGCCCAATGAGACATTTCTCAACGTTGAAAATCGGCCCTGCAACATTTCAACATACCGTTTTGATCAAAACGGCGTTGAAATCTGATCAGTCGTTGATTTTGTTTTTATCAAAAAATGGGGTCATATTTTAACCGTTTGTAAAATTTGAGTTTAACGCTAGTTTTTTCATAGTCTGTTTATATAACAGAAACATTTAAGACAGGTTTCAAAAGGACGAGTCCGGGCTAAAACGGACAACTTCGCAGAGATAGACAAGAAAATTTTAAAAGCCATAACTAACCCTGACCCATCTACATCCGCCCTTGTTAATTCCTGTTGATTTAAACATTTTAACACGAGTGGGACATCTTTATTCTAAGCATATACATAATATCAACATTAAATGTTTGGAGAAGATCAGTTTTAATTGATAAAGAAAATGTCTGCCGAATTTTTCATACATAGCATTAAGCACTTGACAGTAAGCAGTTGGTATTTAGCAGTTAACAGTAAGCATAAATCAGTCGCCTGTAAACATTAAGCAGTTGACAGTAACTTAACGATTAAGCTGTTGACAGTAGGCAATTGATAGTAAACAGTAGGTTGTCGTTTATGGAATTCCGTATACAACAGTTGCTACTTATGAAGGTGCAGAATGACGGCCTTTCCTGATTCACATTAAAGCTTGCATTTAATGTGAGGTACAATGCCCGAGAGTTTCAGTTTGAGCTGTGGCGTATGTGGACGACTAACGTAAACTTGACAAGTGTCGTCCAGGGGCCCTGGCTCTGTACCCAAACGTGAGGCAATTGTTAAACAGTTTTAAAGGTCATGCTAGTGTCAACGTCAACAACTGAACTAAAACGTCAGAAGTACGTAAAATGGAGACTGGGCGTATGTCTGTTCTAGGCCTCATAAATGTTTATGAAAATAGGGTAGTAAAATTAATGCCGAGTAGACAAGTTTGCGTACCAACAAAACAGACATCTAGCGTTAATTTGTTTATAAAGATAGTGTAGTAAATGCCGAGTTAAACAAAACAGACATCTAGCGTTTGTTTCTTTTAGTTTAAAATTTACTGAATACAGGAGATTTGCTGCTAAAACATCAGTTTGAAGGTCGTAAAATAACAATGTTTTGCTGCAAAAAAAAATGATTATAAATATAAAAAAGTTGTATGGTATATCACTATATATGTAACGTACACGTACATTTACATTTAATGTACTGATATTTATTTTATGTTATTGTATGCCTGAGAAGGCCCATGATTGGTAATAAAACACTATTCTATTCTATTCTATTCGTACTTGTTAATTTTAAAAAAATTTAAAATTAATAAAAAAGAGTTTGAAATCATCACCAATATGTTGTCAATATAGCTTCTAGATAGTCACGAAATGCCAGGATAACGCTCAATTCCTCTTTCAAAAATTTTCTCGGGGGAGCATGCCCCAGAACCCCCATAGTTAAGGAGTACATATACATCAACATAGCTCAGTTACGCCCCTAACTCATGATAAAATTTGTTCTTTAATAATGAGATTTTAAATCTTTCTCTCAGAAACTACCAAGCCAAGAGCTTAGATATTTTGCATGTAGCATACCTCTACGAAATTTATGCCCTTGGATCACAATTTATCTAGTAGACATCTTCAGATGTTTTTAAAAATTATGCATTTTGGGTCAAAAATAATAACATAATGTGATCAATTTATCGACTTTTGCATAGAAGTATTGTGACATTTTCTAGCAATGTATCTAAGGCGAGCGATACAGTGCCATCATAACCCTCTTGTTTACTCCATATGACCTGTCTTATGATAACAGATGACATACATTCAAACTATTCCAAGAAACTGTCAAATTAAATTTTCTTCAGTAAGTTTTATAGAAAACTTCATTAAAAATTCACTCAACTTCATTAAAAATTCACTCACTCAGAACACCTGTTTGCTGAGGAAGTTCAGGTGAGCTAAAAATGAATTTAGATAGAAATTCTCTAGAGATCTGAAAAAAAGGAAAATATACCGTATTCTTAACTTAATTTGAAATATTGATCGTGTTAAAGATAAACCTCTAACTTGAGGAATAATTTAGAGAGGTGCTTGAAAAGTGCTTTTCTATTTGCCCAAGGCAAGCGGTTTGTATCGTATACGTTCTCTTGTTTAAAACAGAGGACTGCCGATTCAGATGCCTGTGGCGTAGTCTGATTGGTGCATTGATCGAAACGTGTGCGAGCCGCAAAGATGGCTGACACCGGTATCAAAACAGATATAAGTTCTTCATTGTTTAATCCTGGAGGATGGAAAAGTCTGATATCATTTGTTACGTTATCGTTAGCATGGCTTGTAGGATTTAGTTCCCGATTATTTGCAGTCATTCGATTTGAAAGCATTATCCACGAATTTGATCCATGGTAAGACATTTTGTAATGCATGAATTGGTGGGTGGGGAGTGGAACAATTATAATCTGTTAATTCATTTTTTTGCAGGAATCATACCATCACAATTACTTGACAGCGTCCTGCCTACACTTAATAAGCATTGTTATACCTAGCCGTATATAGTATTACTGCATTCATTATTGATTGCTTGTATACAAGTTGAAAATTACAACTGTCAAGTGGCAGCATATGGACCTCTTCACATATTCATAGATTTCCATCTTAAAACTTGGATAAAGAAAGTTTTACAATACTGGGATCCTACATATTACTGGACATAATATGATGTTTTTTCGCTGTAACTTTTATTTAAAGAAATAAAAAAGAATGAAATTTTACCCAAATAATTGTTATTTAAATATACGTAAACATTCCTTTATCAAACATAAAATTAAACATTTGACCGAAGAAATGTGTCTTTAAAGAAGGGCATTAAAAGAGGAAAACAATCGTGTAGACAACTCAATTTACCGGACATTGTGTTTCAAAATTTTTTGAAGTCTTAAATTGAAATTAAGCAAGGAAACTACGACGTTAAGATACATGAAATACCAAGTATGGCACTAAAATAGACACGGCAGCCGTGCTAGTTACGAAGAGGCCAATATAGGGGTGTGATTGAAATTAACACTATTAACTCAATTAACGTATTGATTCTTCATGATCCTTAAACGTATGATACATTTTGATATTCAAATGGAATTCTGTTATTTGTCATACAGTTTCCTTTTGGTCAGGTGTAGCACGTTGCAAAAGCCATAAAATCTATTTTTTGTACATTTCTCCCATGGGCGTAACCCGTTTCCTTATATGTTTTTTAATTTGCATTTCTTGTTTATTGTTTGAACTAAATTTAACATTACTTTTTATCATTTAAATATGTAACGATGAGATAACGATGAGAAGAATTAAAAGTAAAACCTATCTAAAATAACCCATTTATTAATTAGGCCTAAATAATCGGGCATGCCCTAACAGATTATTCCCCCTCATGACCAGGTCATGGAATAACTAGTAAACATAAGGGCATGTTAGTGTATAAAGAACTGAATCAACAATATTTGCCTGAGAGTGGTTTTGTTGTTATATACTTTGAAATGAAAGTGTGTGTACAATTCAGACAGGATGATTTTTGAATCGAAGCAAAAAATAAAGCCTTATTTGACAGGAATAGATTTTGTCCGGTAAAGTGATTGTCCGATAAACATGTAGGATCCCAGTAACATACTTTTCAATAAGTATTGGGTATTTTTGCATTGGCCTTTTGCTTTTAACAGTTAAAATTGAATGTGATAATTTAATGGAATGCATCAATCTTATTTAATTTGTGGTGCAAGTTAAGATGTCATGCGCTTACAGTGTAAGAAATTAGGATTTGAATCCACTAGGCTTGTCGGACTACCAGATTGGGATATTCACTAGCCCACAAGACATTTCTGATGATTTCACTAGCATGATTCATTTGTTCAAAACAGTTGCTTATATTGCCTCTGAAAATACAGTAGCCTGGTCAGGCTTTTTACTGTGAAAAGTTGGTAGCCATCCGGTTGCCCACAGGTATACTGTCTTTACAGGTGAAAAGTTCTGAACTGTAATACATTTCCCAGCTAAATGACTTTTTTTTCAATTTTCAAAATCACCTTCCCAACTATATTGAATTTCATCTTCAAATTTCTTATGAGTCCAGAGAACACTTCCAGTGTTTTTTTTTTACCAAAATATTCGGCGAAATTCGGCCCCATTTCCCCCCTCAAAATAGTATGTTTTTTTTCCCCTCAAAGCTAAAATTTCCACCTATACGGCAGCCCACATCTGCCTGCAATGAATATCTTTTTTTTTTTTGCAACTAACTGCCAAAAAATGTTTTATTTTATGACTGTAAGACTTACTGTTAAGCAAGGTTGTTTACAAATCGTTCTCAGGTAGGTCCCGGTGTCCCAACAAGTTAAACATGCGACTCATAGTCATCAATATTTTAGATCTGTATATTAAGAAAAAGCTACATATTTTAAACTTGACGTGTTGCAAGAGTTGCTCCCCCTTTCTACTGAAAAGAAAACAATATAAAATAAATAAAATAATAAAATTCCCCCTCCTATTGCATTTTTCCCCCTTCAAAGAGCACCGACCCCCAAAAGTGAAAAAACACTGACTTCTCTCAGAGACTCTGTAGCTATATAATCACACACCCCTTGTTGAAGACCAAATGTCACAGGGTGAGAAAAATGTGGAAGCTGAGCTGGACTTGTACCCAGGACCTTCGGAATACCATCTGGCAGCACTACGGAATAAGCTGCCAGCTACTAACACATCATCTCTGATATTGAGTTGAATCTAATTCTTTTGTCATTAAATAAAAGGTTAGAGTAGGAATCTGTCAATTGTTTTGCATCAAACATATAGTTAAGTTAAAACAGGCTGATACAACAGAAATGAGAATGTGAATATATATGCAATGATGATAATATTTGGATCCTGTTTGTTTTACCAGATTTGTTGCAAAATTATTGATGGTAGTGATATATTTTGAAAAAGAACTACAAGCTGGTCTGTACACTTATGTAATGCTGTGTATATTGTGTTTAAGGAATTTGAACCAATAAAAAAATGACAAGAAATAGCCATTTGAAGTCATGCAGGATGATTTGTTAGGTAGGAGCATGATAATTCTCACCTGATACAAAGACATTTAATGTAAATGCTGGTTTATTTTCACAGGTTTAACTACAGAGCTACACATTACATGGTAAATCATGGGTTCTACAACTTTCTCAACTGGTTTGATGAAAGAGCATGGTATCCACTTGGCAGAATTGTTGGTGGAACGGTAAGTCTCAGCCAAATCTTTATATATTAAACTTCCCTTTTTGTCTTTTAAATCTGTTTCTAGGCAGAAAGTATTATTCATGGTTATTTCAAAGGACTATGTTAGTATTTGTGGACATGTTTGTTAAATACTGCTTGATAAAATTATTTGATTTAATAGTTAACAGAAAACTATGTTATTTTGTATATAAAATTGAACTTTATTAATTTCATATCTAGCTAATTTGTTTAAAGTATTTAAATTAAACCCTTTGGCCTTGAATTGACAGGTTATGACCTGGATGTTTCAATGTCATGTGAAAGTTAAAAGTTAAATTAAAGTGTTAGTTGTAACCTAAGGCAAAATTTGTAACATGTGATATTATTTCCTGATTGTTACAGGAAGTTACAATAAGTTTGATATAATGACAATATAGAACAATTTTTGATTTGGATTTTTTTTTTCAAATCTTGTCCTTTGTTGAAATGTATAAAGCTATCATGAATTTATGATTATATATTTATGCCTTATATAAAAAAGTTTGCTTATTCTTAAGTTATAGAATACTTTTTCCAGTTCTGTTTATATAGATGAATATATGACATAATATGAGCTGTGTCATGACAAAACCAACATAGTGTGTTTGCGACCAGCATGTATCCAGACCAGCCTGCGCATCCGCGCAGTCTGATCAGGATCCATGCTGTTTGCTTACCAACCCTATTACAAGTAGAGAAACTGATAGCGAACAGCATGGATCCTGATCAGACTGCACAGATGCGCAGGCTGGTCTGTATCCATGCTGGTCGCAAACCCATTATGTTGGTTATGTTGTGATGCGGCTCATATGTTAGTGTATAACAACTACATTAAGTTTGAAACCTGCTAATGAAACCGCTTTAAGTGGTTTTAAGAAAGAATGGTCTTAATATTTGGGTAGTCAGTTCATTTTGATAAGAATGTTAATGAAAACATTGCAAAATATTACAAATAATTAATTGTACTATGATCCATATCTTTGAAAAATAAATAAATCCAACTTTGTAGTCCAAATAAAAAGGACGAGAGAGGAACTTTAATGATTCATATCTTTATATTAATAATGATTAATGTCGATCATAATAATAATCAAACATCATAAATGTAAATTGGCTTTATAATAATAAAGATTATTCTTGTAATCATGTCTTTATAATAAAGATTATTCTTAAAATTTGGCACCAGTATATAGACCATAGAGCCAGGTCATCCTTCACATCAGTACAGTCTATTTACTGTTGGTAGTTCAATATTTGTATTTTAAAATTAAGTACCAAATATTTCCATTATTTAACTTTGACTGTTATAAATTCAAAGAATTGCAAATCCATTACAAAAATTCATCAGGATAAGAGTAGATTGACAATAAAGCCAATATTAACATTACAGGTGTATCCCGGGTTGATGGTAACTTCTGGTTCCATTCATTGGTTACTACATCTGTTGAATATACCAGTACATATCAGAGATATATGTGTCTTCCTTGCTCCTGTATTCAGGTAAGTTGATAACAATATAACAAACAATATACAATATCAGAAATTCTGATTGTTCATGTATGCTGTATGTAAGATGCATAATTGATGGCAGATGCACATCTGCATGAGGCTGTCCATGTGTGACATCAGACTAGACATACACTGTAGTGGAGTCAGTGCATTTTCTTTAAACTCTAGTATGTCTTATGGCCACAACTGAATATACCCATGCTGACTGCAACTTGATGTACCTGTGCAATCAATGCAGACCAGGATATGCCAACACATTTGTGCCATCTGATCATGGTCTGCATTTTCTGTTCAGTCATTACATATATTTTGAATAAAAAATTCTATAAATGTTGTATAATAATATCTATCATGTGTTGCGGTCTGAATAGGAATAACCATCCTGAATTAGAATTACCTGATTGTGTGATTAAATGTATGATTTGTTCAAGTGAAGTTAAATGTCTCATATTTCACTTACAGTGGAATGACGGCAGTATCTGTGTACTTGTTTACTAAGGAGATATGGTCGGCTGGGGCTGGGCTCTTTGCAGCATGTTTTATTGCTATTGGTATGTAAATAGTCTTTTATATATGTAAGCTTTTGATCTTCGTTTATATTGCCATATTTATTGATAATACTTTAGCCAAATTATACATTCTGTAGCCAACTTAATATAATTTTTAATAAATGGCTAATGGCAGAACAAGCCCTTATTCAAGAAGAACTGAATCTTTATTTAGACACTGGAACATAAGTCGAGAAAATGAAATCATATTGTCATGAATAAATTACAGAAGTTTTGCAGTTGTGTTTAAAGATTCAGATAAATGATTGACTAAATATATCCTATATAAAGTGTATGTACTAAAATATATGACTTCCAAGCACTCCAATAGACTATGGATATCATATTACAATGTTATGTTACTTGATAAATCACTGCAATAATGTATAATTATTTATGATATATTGGTAAATTAATCAACTATATTAGCTATTGTTGTAATATGTATTGATGTATATAATTTCAGTACCAGGCTATATATCTAGGTCAGTGGCTGGCAGCTATGATAATGAAGGCATTGCTATATTTGCTCTCATGTTTACATACTATCTCTGGGTATGTATTTATTAGTATATATTTACATTGTTAAAAAAGGTCTACTGTCAATTATGGTACTCAAATAATTATCATTAATAAAATAATTCAATCAAGAATCATTTTGTATAGTTGAAGCTTTTGTAACTGCATATTTAGCTCGACTATTTGATAAGAATAAGTAGAGCTATTGCAGTCACCCGAGCGTCGGCGTCGGCGTAACCACTTATGTTAAATTTTTTGTAATAGTTCAAATATTTTCAAAGTCCATTGACATATGGCTTTGAAACTTTGCACACTTGTTCACCATCATGACCCCAACCTGTAGACAGGAGGAGGTAACTCTATCAAGCATTTTGACAGAATTATGCCCCTTTTTCGACTTAGAATTTACGTTAAAGTTTTTGTAATAGTTCAAAAATTTTCAAAGTCCATTGACATATGGCTTTGAAACTTTGCACACTTGTTCACCATCATGACCCCAACCTGTAGACAAGAGGAGGTAACTCTATCAAGCATTTTGACAGAATTATGCCCCTTTTTCGACTTAGAATTTACGTTAAAGTTTTTGTAATAGTTCAATTATTTTCAAAGTCCATTGACATATGGCTTTGAAACTTTGCACACTTGTTCACCATCATGACCCCAACCTGTAAACAGGAGGAGGTAACTGTATCAAGCATTTTTTTTACTATCAAGCACTAAGAATAGTCGAGCGTTGCTGTCCTACCGACAGCTCTTGTTATGACCTTGAATTGCGCTTCACCAACCGAAATCTAGTCATGAGATTGCCAGGTTCCTTTTATATTTATAAGATGTAATTTGAAAAAAAAAAACTCAGAAATAAATAACTTAATTAAAAATGTGGTGAATCGGTAGTATATATAACTTACAAACATCCAGGAAAGACAATTTATGGTAGATCCTAGTCATTTTCATTTATGATCAGCCTTTTTTCTGATAGTGTGTCATTTTATTTTCAGTTTTCATAGCAATATAAATGTTATATATTGTTCTGAGTATATTTTGATAAAAGTAAACAGTATTCATGTTGTATCGTAATTTCTATAATGAAGTCATTGTTATAAATTTCAGATAAAATCAGTGAAGACAGGATCACTTTACTGGGCAGTGTTTACAGCTTTGTCCTACTTTTATATGGTAATGTATCAGTTCTTTAAGAGACCGACTTGTTCGTATTTTAACTGCAACATTACATTTTGTGCAGTTAGAACTTTATTTCAAAGCCACACTCTGATATGCAAGTTTTTATAACAATTGAAAGTATGACATCTGAGAGTATTTCCCATTTAGAAATATTATTGGTTTTATACACCAAAACAGGAAATTAATGTTACATGATGAGACAAGATTAGTTTTATTTCGGGTATTGCATTTGAACAAAATTCATTTTGCTTTCTACTTCCATACTTGTAATACAATCAAATAAACAAAGGTCATGTGTCAACTTTTGTAAACAAATTGTCTTATTTGTATCAGTTGTAACCACTATTATTTGTGTCGGTCTTTTTTCTTAATTTACATGTACTCATTTGAGGATACCAAATTGTGGTAAACCTATTTAAACAGAAATATAATAAGATTGTTTCATCATATTCAATCAGTTGATATTTAAAACAAATCTGCATGTACAATGACATATTTGTTCCAAAAAGCAGAACATAAAATAGATTTGTAGATTGGTTATGGTATGGAGTACTGAGACACATTATTTGTTGAAGAAGACTTTTCTTTTCATAAGAAGAGTAGTAATTATACCCCCAAAAACGAAGTTTGGGGGGGTATATAGGAGTCACCCGGTGGTCGGTTGGTCGGTCGGGCGGTCGGTCGGTCGGTTCAGACGTCCGTTGCATTTTCCTTGTCCGGACCATAACTTGAAGACTAATGGTTGGAATTCAATATAACTACATACAATGGTCAAGCACATTGAGAGGAAGTGCAGTGCACAAGAACCATAACTCTATCTTGACTAATTACAGAGTTATTGCCCTTTGTTACTTTTCCTTGTCCGGGGCATAACTTGAAAACTACTGGTTGGAATTCAAAACAACTTCATACAATTGTCAAACACAATAAGGGGAAGTGCAGTGCACAGGAAGTGCAGTGCACAAGAACCATAACTGTATCTAAAGTAATTACAGAGTTATTGCCCTTTGTTACTTTTCCATTGCTTTCTTTTGTCCGGACCATAACTTTAAGACTAATGGTTGGAATTCAATATAACTACATACAATGGTCAAGCACATTGAGAGGAAGTGCAGTGCACAAGAACCATAACTCTATCTTGACTAATTACAGAGTTATTGCCCTTTGTTACTTTTCCTTGTCCGGGGCATAACTTGAAAACTACTGGTTGGAATTCAAAACAACTTCATACAATTGTCAAACACAATAAGGGGAAGTGCAGTGCACAAGAACCATAACTCTATCTAAAGTAATTACAGAGTTATTGCCCTTTGTTACTTTTCCATTGCTTTCTTTTGTCCGGACCATAACTTTAAGACTAATGGTTGGAATTCAATATAACTACATACAATGGTCAAGCACATTGAGAGGAAGTGCAGTGCACAAGAACCATAACTCTATCTTGACTAATTACAGAGTTATTGCCCTTTGTTTCTTTTCCTTGTCCGGGGCATAACTTGAACACTACTGGTTGGAATTCAAAACAACTTCATACAATTGTCAAACACAATAAGGAGAAGTGCAGTGCACAAGAACCATAACTCTATCTAAAGTAATTACAGAGTTATTGCCCTTTGTTACTTTTCCATTGCTTTCTTTTGTCCTGACCATAACTTGAAGACTAATGGTTGGAATTCAATATAACTACATACAATGGTCAAGCACATTGAGAGAAAGTGCAGTGCACAAGAACTCTGTCTTGACTAATTACAGAGTTATTGCCCTTTGTTACTTTTCCTTGTCCGGGGCATAACTTGAAAATTACTGGTTGGAATTCAAAACAACTTCATACAATTGTCAAACACAGTAAAGGGAAGTGCAGTGCATAAGAACCATAACTCTATCTAAAGTAATTACAGAGTTATTGCCCTTTGTTACTTTTCCATTGCTTTATTTTGTCCGGAGTATAACTTGAAGACTAATTGTTGGAATTCATTATAACTTCATACAATGGTCAAGCACATTGAGAGGAAGTGCAGTGCACAAGAACCATAACTCCATCTTGACTAATTACAGAGTTACTGCCCTTTGTTACGTTTCCATTGCTTTTTTTTGTCCGGAGCATAACTTGAAGACTAATGGTTGGAATTCAATATAACTTCATACAATGGTCAAGGACATTGAGAGGAAGTGCAGTGCACAAGAACCATAACTCCATCTTGACAAATTACAGAGTTATTGCCCTTTGTTACTTTTCCTTGTCCAGAGCATAACTTGAAAACTACTGTTTGGAATTCAATACAACTTCATACAGTTGTCAAGGACATTAAAAGGAAGTGCAGTGCATAAGAGCCATAACTCCATTTTGACAAAATACAGAGTTACTGCCCTTTGATACTTTTCCTTGTCTGGAGCATAACTTAAAACGTACTGGTTGAAATTCAAAACAACTTACATACAATGGTCAAGCACAAAAAGAGAGAGGAAGTGCAGTGCACAAGAACTATAACTACATCTTCAGTATTTATAGAGTTATTGCCCTTTGTTCCTTTTTTTTGTATTTCTGGACTTATTACAGAGTAATTCAATAAAACTTCTTCAATGGTCAACCACATTGAAAGGAAATGCAATATACAAGAACCACAACTATCTTTAATTGCCCACAACCATAACTCTATATTTCAATTTTTTTACAAGGTATTCTGTTACTAGTAACATCCTCATTTCCGAAGCAGTCTTGTGGGGGTATTAATCACATTTAGTGATAGTTCTAGTTTGAATTATTATGGCTTTGCTGTTTTGTAGTATTCCTTACAATGTGAAGGTTGGTTGATACTGGTGTAAGTTTATATGAAATAATTAAGTATATAATATTTCTGTATTGTAGGTGTCAGCGTGGGGAGGATATGTGTTCATTATTAACTTGATACCATTACACGTATTTGTACTCATTCTCATGGGAAGGTATTCACAACGTATTTATGTAGGTAAGTCGTGTTTTAACTATAGTGGTCGTATTTTTTTTCCTCACAATATATGCTGTATTTATGAAGAAAGTTTATAGTTTTACTAGACACATGTTATTTATCTAACAACTTGAGGATGACATAGTTTTATTTATGAAGAAAGTTTCTTTAATTTTTACTTGACACATGTTATTTATCTAACAACTTAAGGATGACATAGTTGTTACAAGATTGAATACTGAATCTCTTGTTTTGTTTATAATAATAATAAAGGCTTTATTTAACGAGGCTACATATTTGCCAAAATGATCTATCATATGTACTAATGTTTAATTTGTATATGTCGGTTTCTGTCACGTCTTGTACATAGAAGCTCAAAATATGACCTGAAATGATGTTGTTTGCTTAAGAATGCTTCTATTTGTTTTATATTTTGATTATACAGCCCCTTGACTTTTACACGACTGAATATGTCTAAGATACTTTTCATGCTTTAAATGCTTTGTTACTATATTGATTTGCCAACAGAATAGAGTCTGATAAGAATATTAGAGACAAAAACTGGCATATAAGGGGTTATACAAGTTTTATACTGATTTATAAAGTGTTTCTCCATCTGGAATTGATTTGTTTAACTATATGTATTCCTGTTATATGTGTATATTATTATTATTTTATAGTATTCATTTTATATATATTTCAGCATACAATTCATTTTTCATCATTGGATTGATCCTGTCCATGCAAATACCATTTGTAGGCTTTAATCCTATATCAACCAGTGAACATATGGCCTCAGCAGGTGTGTAAAATATTACATATATACATAATGTTTTCTATAACAGTATAAGCCATATAATGAAGTAAACTCCAGTGATAACGGTATTCAAGGGACTGCCAAATTTATATAATTGTATCCGGATTTCTTTATATCTGAGAGACAACCAGTTAGAAAACATGAGTCGACACCTTGGCAACAGCATCATTATAAGCAGTATATTGTTATAAATGATATATTTATAAGTGGAGTTTACTGTATTATATTCTCTTTAACAAACTACTTGCAAAATTGTCGCTACATCTTAAGGTTTTATTTCCACATCTTCTATTTTCTGTCCTCATTTCCAACAATACAGGATAGCCTAAGACTGTGTGCTGATTTTAAAGTTTAATGTATTTATGTTATTGTAATTAAGTATTTGCTGTCTTTATTATTACATACGAGTATCCAAACTTCCATCTTTTAAAAAGAAATGTGAATATAAATAAAAGTTTAAAACATGTTTACTTTGTAGTTATGAGGTAGATCAACTGTTTCTGGTTGTGTCACTTTGGTCAAACAAATCATTTTCTTTTACCTGTTTATCATTTGTTCACATATGTATAAATGTTGTGCATTATATATTTCAGGTGTATTTGCTTTATTGAATGCCTATGGTTTATTGAAGTATGTACAGTCTTTCCTGACCAAGTCAGAGTTTAAATTTTTCTTTATTGTATCTGTTGGTCTGGCAGCGGGCCTTATATTTCTGGCAGTTGTTGGATTAACTTGGGCAGGTTAGTGTTATGTCTTTTCTTTCCTTTCTATAAGTATTATATATATTTAAATTCTCTCATTTGATATTGCCTACAATTCACCAACTTAAAATACATGCATGTAAAGTAGCTCAATAGGGATAGCATTGTATTAGTTATCCAGTGGTCACTGGTTTGATCCTTGGGCAAGGAGTAACTTTTTTTGTGACAATTTATCTTGGACATTGAATCTTATGGTCATTTGTCAGTGACTTGTAGAGCTTATATTAATTACAAGTTGGTTATCCAGGCACTCAGTTAGGTGATTCAACTACTGAGATATGACCAAAAATATATTAAAATCAGCATAACCACCAGGAAAAAAAACATTCGAAACAAACATGCAAATAAAAAAAACACTTGAGATTTTTTTATTGTAATAACCAATGTAGTATTAGGAAGAACATTGTTGTGACACCAGTAGGTTACAATCTGTCATCACTAGATTGGCAGGCAGACACCTTACATGAACCTATTGGTCAACTCACCAGTATAAGATTCAATTAAAAATAGTTCATGCTTGGTTAATAATTTCTTAGTTTATACAGTAACATCAGGTTTACATACTTATTTGGAGTTACATGTCTGACACAATTACCATAGAGAGAGCAAACTAAGTTCTGGAATGATAAACTACTGTTGTATTTCAGGATACATTCATCCATGGAGTGGCAGATTTTACTCTCTCTGGGACACAGGTTATGCTAAAATACATATACCTATTATAGCATCTGTATCAGAACATCAGCCTACCACCTGGGTCTCATTCTTCTTTGATCTTCATATACTTGTGTGTGCGTTCCCAGCTGGTGTCTGGTATTGTATTAAACAAGTCAATGATGAAAGAGTGTTTGGTAAGTTATTTTCACTTGCATTTGTCAGGGCTCACTCTGCCATTTGCTAAAACGTTATTAACTCGGCTTTTTGATTTTTATGCCCTGATTTTTTATACTATTTCACATAAAATCAGAAAATCACACAAATTTGACAAAAATGATTGGCTTTTCTAGTCTTTATACTTTTTCACAAGTTTATTTTTCTGTCTTTATCAGTAGAATAAACTACTTGTTCATGTTTGAATAAATTCACCAAGAGCAAGCAGGAATTTTGCTAGAACAAATTCACCAAAACCTTATATGTTTTGAATCCATTTGTTAGCAATAAAACAAGTTTTTGTATATGTCAGAAATGTGGTTTCCTTTTGTTACTGGTCTTGTTCAGGTTGAAATAAGATCACATTCTTTATGAGTTTCACCCATATCTTTTTACTGCAGATTCACATAAACTTTATCATCTTTTAAGATGTAAAATAAACTCATATTTGTTTTACATATTAAGTTAATTGGTTATCATATGTTTTCAGTTGTCCTGTATGCGATATTTTCAAGCTACTTTGCTGGGGTAATGGTACGTCTTATGCTGACCTTGACCCCTATTGTATGTGTGTGTGCAGCTATAGCTTTCTCTAAGGCTTTTGAGATCTACCTCAAGGATGACACGCCTAAAACTACAAGTAAACCAATAGATGACCAACATGAGAATAAGGCAGATAACAAATATTATGACAAGGTTAGAGTCACATTTTCATTTAATACTTAAACAATGAAAAATATTGTTTTAGTATTTTTATGCTCCCCGAAAAAATTTCGGGGGAGCATATAGTCGCCGCCTTGTCCGTCCGTCCGTCCGGCCGTCCGTCCGTCTTTCCGTCCGTCCGTCCGTCCGTCCGTCCGTCCGTCCCCTTTTCTTGTCCGGGACATAACTTTGAAACAACAAGAGGTATCAACATGAAACTTTGTAGGTAGATAGATCTCATTAAGTAGGTGTGCAGTGCACAAGAACCGTAACTCTGCCTTGCCTAATTTTTGAATTATTCCCCTTTGTTTATTTTTACACTTTGAACTTTGTCCGGGACATAACTCTAAAAGTATAAGAGGTATCAACATGAAACTTTGTAGGTAGATAGATCTCATTGAGTAGAAGTGCAGTGCACAAGAACCGTAACTCTGCCTTGCCTAATTTTTGAATTATTCCCCTTTGTTTATTTTACACTTTGAACTTTGTCCGGGACATAACTCTAAAAGTATAAGAGGTATCAACATGAAACTTTGTAGGTAGATAGATCTCATTGAGTAGAAGTGCAGTGCACAAGAACCGTAACTCTGCCTTGCCTAATTTTTGAATTACCCCCCTTTGTTTATTTTACACTTTGAAATTTGTCCGGGACATAACTCTAAAAGTATAAGAGGTATTAACATGAACTTTGTAGGTAGATAGATCTCATTGAGTAGAAGTTGCAGTGCACAAGAACCGTAACTCTGCCCTTGCTAATTTTTTAATTATTCCCCCTTTGTTTATTTTTACACTTTGAACTTTGTCCGGGACATAACTCTAAAAGTATAAGAGGTATCAACATGAAACTTTGTAGGTAGAATAGATCTCATTGAGTAGGTGTGCAGTGCACAAGAACCGTAACTCTGCCTTGCCTAATTTTTGAATTATCCCCTTTGTTTATTTTTACACTTTGAAATTTGTCCGGGACATAACTCTAAAAGTATAAGAGGTATCAACATGAAACTTTGTAGGTAGATAGATCTCATTGAGTAGGTGTGCAGTGCACAAGAACCGTAACTCTGCCTTGTCTAATTTTTGAAATTATCCCCCTTGTTTATTTTACACTTTGGAACTTTGTCCAGGACATAACTCTAAAAGTATAAGAGGTATCAACATGAAACTTTGTAGGTAGATAGATCTCATTGAGTAGGTGTGCAGTGAACAAGAACCTTAACTCTGCCTTGCCTAATTTTGAATTATCCCCCTTTGTTTATTTTTACACTTTGAACTTTGTCCGGGACATATTTTCTTAATGTATAAGAGATATCAACATGAAACTTTGTTAGGTAGATAGATCTCATTGAGTAAGTTTGCAGTGCACAAGAACTGTAACACTGTCTTGCCTACCTTTTGGAGTTATTGCCCTTTGTTCATTTGAACACTTGAACTTTGTCTGGGACATTATCTAAATTATAAAGAGATATTAACATGAAACTTTGTAGATAGATAGGTCTCATTGGGTGGAAGTGCAGTGCTTAAGAATCATTACTCTGCCTTGCCTTATTTTGAAGTAATTGCCCTTTGTTTATTTTTACTTTTTGACTTTTGTCCTGGACATTACTTTAAAACTATTAAGAGTATCAACATGAAACTTTGTAGGTTAGCTAGATGTAATTGGATAGAACTGCAACGCTTCAAGAACCTAAACAAAGCCTGGTCTAATTTTGGAGTTATTGCCCTTTGTTCATTTTTTTTATACTTTCCTGTGTCCAGAACCTTCTCGGGGAGCATCACCCGGTTCAACCGGTTCTTGTCATTCTCTATCAGTAGTTGAAGTCAAAAAAGCCCCTTTTGATCTTTGTTAACTTTGTAAAAATTGGTTTCATAGGTCTCTTCAGCTAATTATTTGTAATATAATATATATGCATAGCAATGTAAGATAACACCTGAGCAATTAAAAAATATATATTTACAACATTATTTCAGTATTAATTTGTAAAGGATATTTTTACAAACTGTGGGACAAGTAGTCTTTTAATTTCCTCACACATCATTTTAGTTTTATATGTATTAAGTTTATCATAATTGAAACACATTTCTTCACAAATGATGATGATGATAGAAATTGAATATATTAGTTGTTAGAATATAAGTATAAAAGTGTAAACATCAAGTTTTTCACTGAATGACTGAAAAATTAATATTTTATTTTAGTATTGAACTTCAATGGTTTTGTCATTAAAAGGATTATTTTCTCATTAACAATTTAGTAATGTAGGAAATGACGGTGTATAAACATTCTGATATATCTGCGTATGTGATTGTAGGTGGGTAAAACAAAGAAAGACAAAAAGGAAGAGAAACCAAAGGAGAGTGATGCATTAGGTATCAACATAAAGAGTATTATAGTGATAGCCTTGTTAATGGTGCTAATGTTGTTTGCCGTCCACTGTACCTGGGTCACATCTAGTGCATACTCCAGTCCCAGTATTGTACTAGCATCATATAATCATGATGGGTGAGTGAATAGATAATTTGTCACTGTTTAGTTGTTTAATGTATATGTTTTACATGTTCTTGAAGTTTTTGAAAAAGAAGACCTTGTTGAAAGACCCAGGAAAGTGTATGTACATTAACAGATAGACTAGTGTGTGTAAAACATCATTAGAAAGAATATTATTTCTAGCCAGTTACATAGACAACATCATGTCATTTACTCATTAATAAGTTTTTCATTTGAAAAATGGAAGCCAGAATTCTTGAAATGATTAATTGATCTGCAGCATCACAGAAGAAGGTTTTAGGGCTTGAAATTTTAAACCAATATTAATTATGTAATGCAGGTTGATTAAAGGTTGCTGTTCTAATAGGAACAGTTCTGTAAAAGTGTAGGTCATTGGGACTTTATACATACAATAACAACCGTATGAACTTAAGTCAGATTTAAATGGCCTCAAAGAATCAGCCAGGGGAGAAAATTTATGCTATGTGAAAGTCATGTTTGAATTTGTTTTATTTTATCACCATTATTTACATGTTACCACGTATATTTACAGGAGTAGGACGATATTAGACGACTTTAGAGAGGCATATTACTGGTTACGTCAGAATACAGATGATAAAGCTCGGGTTATGTCCTGGTGGGATTACGGCTACCAAATAGCTGGCATGGGAAATAAAACAACTTTAGTAGATAATAATACGTGGAATAACAGTCATATAGCACTGGTTAGTCAACACATTCAATAGCTTTCTTTTATATCTAGATTTGTTTTAATATTTTGAATACTTGATTATTTCTGCTCTTAGGAGTTGTTTGAAAGTTGCAATATTACCTTGACATAACTTTATATTCAAGTCTTTATCACAGCTGCATTACTGGTTCTAGTACTGCAGTACATAATGCAGTGACTTTGCAAGTACTGGCACTGAGACTCTTTATTAAAGACTAATGATTTTGTGTATAAGGGTCGTTAAAATTGTTCAATGTATGTCTCTGATGTTGATGTGTATTATTTAAAAGTTGTTGAAGCTCTAATGTTCTGTAATTAAAGGTTGGTAAAGCTATGTCATCCAATGAGAGCGCAGCATATGAGATAATGCGAGAGTTAGATGTGAACTATGTACTGGTGATATTTGGTGGTGTGATAGGATACTCTGGTGATGATATCAACAAATTCTTGTGGATGGTTCGTATAGCAGAGGGAGAACATCCAAAAGATATCAGAGTAAGTTCCAATTATATTATTCCTGAATATCCTGAATCTTATACTGAAATAACGGAACATCTATGGTTCTACTGGGGTACTGCTTGTGCCTGAAGAGGCATCTGAAGTATTCATTCACCAGTAAAGCTAGAAAGTCGCCATATGTTCTTTACAGTGTTGGTGAAATGTAAAATCCAACTCCCCTAATAATCAAACATTTAGTCAGCATGATAGTGTGTCATTTATGATTTATTTATTAAAAGTTTTATGTTTAACAAAGTGATATGATTTTCTCTCTTCAGGAATCTGATTATTTTACACCACAAGGTGAATTTAGAGTGGACTCTTCTGGATCCAAAACATTATTAAATTGCCTTATGTACAAGCTGTCCTACTACAGATTTGGAGAATTACAGGTAACAATAGAAACTCTTCATATACCTTTATATTTGTGTGTGAAATACAAATGTAATTGTATTTAAAAGCAGTTTTAATTAACAGAACAGCTGTCATCACTAGAAAATAATGTATTGTTGATATGTTTTTGTTCATTAATTATCAATACATACACATGTATTTGAAAAAATTCATAATTTTTACAAGGTAATTACCGTGGTTTATGTATGGAAATAATGAAAATTAATCTCTTACATATACAGAACCAGATGTCTATGCCTAAAACTATGTTGTAGTTATGTAATGGACATATTTCATAGCAGTTATAACAAACAAAAAAAATGGTCAGAAAAAAAATGCAATGAGCATTTATAAACAAGACACATCATAATTGTATGAACAGAGGGTGAATTTTACTGAAATAATTTGAACCGCTATGAAAGTGAGTTATAGATAAGTAATTATAAGTTTTTACTGATATATCAGTGTACAGATCTGATATTGATATATCATCAATATGTTTGCAATGAATCAATGACAGCTCTAATTAACAGGTACAAGCATAAGTTAACAGTAAGAATTTGAACAGTTACTGAAAAGATAAGGAACAAATTTGGTGCAACCGGATTGCCTTAACAACTGCAATTACTGTTTTCTTACTTTCTATTTATTATTTGTTACATTGAAAAATGACTTAACAACATACTTTGGATGAAGATATATTTTAAATTAAAAATAAAATACCTAAGCATACTTAAAAAAAACCCCAAAGCATACTTAAGAAAAAATACCAAAGCATATTTAGTTTCTCATATATTAATATTGGTTTGTCATATATTAGCATATTAGAGTAAGTGAAGTATTTGGAGATGATATTACTCCTTTACCTATTAAATTAGTGACACTAGTTTGGAACATGTTTTTATTTTTAGCTGATAACTTTAGGAATTCAGCTTTCAGGCTTGAATTTTTTTTGGATGATGATCAATTTTAACAAATCTTAAATTGATGAAGAGTATTACTCGAAACTAGAAGCGAATAAAATCTTGAAAATTGACCTAGTGTTGTATGTGTGTTCCTCACCTTTTTTAAATAAATATATTTTATAAATCTTAAATCAATGTATATTATTCGATTATGAATGATACATGTATAATTTCAGCTTGACTTCAGGAGTCCAGCAGGATATGATCGAACTCGTGGTGTAGAAATAGGCAATAAAAACTTTGATTTAACTCATTTAGAAGAAGCATATACATCGGAGCATTGGCTAGTCCGTATTTATAAAGTGAAAGATTTAGTTAACAGAGAGCTTAAAGACAAACCTGTCAAACCAGTTAAAAAATCAAGAAAATCTAAGAAAAAGGTAAGAGTTCTTTGTACTCTAGTCAAACACAGAATTTGTATTCCTTCTTAAAGGATTGTGACTTCGGTTTATATGAGATTTGCTCATGGTAAAATGTTGGTTTGTGTATCCACAGAGCTCCAGATAATTTTTTTGGCCAAGGGGTTTTTACCCCTCAAAATCTAGATTGAGGGGTAAAATGCAAATTCTGAAAAACTTTCGGGGTAAAATCTGTCAAAAAAAGCATTTTGCATTTTTTTATTAACAAATTAAACTTATTGTTTTTGTTTGTTTATTTTATTTTTTTAGAAAAACTTTTACAAATAAATACTGATTCAATGTGAAATTCAACAATACAAAACATGATCAGTAAAGTCAGACTTCCAGATTATACTGGAACTCAAGTATAGGTTACACAGATACACATCAGGGCTTCCATTTTCAAAATTTGGGAGTCAAAGACTTCAAAATCTGTGATATTGGAAGTCACATTATATAGGTAAAGAAGCTAGGAAAAGTATAAGATTTTGGAAGTCTTTATTTCTGTTGGCATGTACCTTATCATGTATTCCAGTTTGAAGAATAATAGTTGAAATAAAAATAAAAGAAAAATAAACAAGATTTTTTTATGTTTCCTTAAAAAAAGTATTGGTCTGAGAGAAAATTGTCCGTAACTCTAGACTGGGTACGAACATATTGAGTACGAAACTGCAGGTGATTAACATGTTATTTTGGTCCAACAACAAAAGTGAAAGAAATTTAAATATATTTTGGTTTATATTGAGGCATAGCCATGCCAATAGATGCTTAAACAAACTTAATACTATGTTATTTCCTACGATGATTATCTGACACAAATTTTATGAATAATTTCACAGGTTGATTTACGGGAGTTTCTTCCCTTCTGTAGAGTGACTGTACTTCCTGCTACTTTCGTTTTTAACATGCGTTGTTGACAACAGAATTTGTAGTTTTCAATGCAATAAAATGGAAAGATATTGTATTTTTATACTCAAAACATCCTCTTTCTAAATATCAAATGTTTACACTAATATTCTTTCACGCTTAAATTTTGACATACAAGCGTATTTTCATTTTGTTGTGCGTAACTTTGATGCACAAATTTTGAAAGTGATGCGTATTTTAGATTTTCTATGCGTAATTTACGCTGATACGCACGCTATCTGGAGCTCTGTATCCATGGTGAAAAGTTATATGTAATAATATGATTGATGTTATAGTATTATAAATAATGTTTATTGTTATTTCATGGGAATTCAAAATCCTTTCTTGTTTGTTTTTCAGTCTGGCAAGAAGAAGACCGGGTCAATAAAGAATAAACCAAAAATTGTGAAAGGAAAGAAACCAAAATCAAAAAAGTAGATCTCTATATTTGAGTTAGATATAACAGACCTTATTAGTGTGCACATATTATTTATAAATTGCCATTTGTTATATTTAACTGTGGGAAATGATAGGCAATTTTTATCTAGTTTTTTTTTTGTCTTCTTGAACTAATCATGATCTAACCAAAAAAAGTTAAATTTCCCAACTTTTATTGTTTCATATTGTTTTAAAACATTACATTTCTTCATCCATAGAAAATCACACTGATACAATCCATGTCTTTAGATAGGAGTAGAGTATTTATGCCACATACAGTGCAAAAAAAGAGTTTCAACTTTCAGCAAGTAAACTATCACATTAGCATTTATACATTACCCTTGAACATTGCTGAAACAGAAACTATAAAGCCTTACTTATAGATAGAGGCAGCTTGCAGTATCTGTACAGTATGACCAGACCGTTTTCACCATCTAACTGGACCGTATACTGTTGATGAACAGGCTTTGTCACCAATATACATTGTCACCAATATCATATCCAAAACATTGATTTTGGGCTATTTTAAAAGTAATAGTTGGACAAGAAGTGTTTGAAGTTAAGGGCTTAAGAGACATGTTTCATTACTTCATATCAGGTTTAGTTGTAAGTTATTTGCTGATTAAGGTCACAAGTTATATTTTGTTATGAGTTTAGAACCAGCAATCTGTGCAACTGATCACATGTAAACTACTTTCAAAATATTCTGTTTATCCAAAATAATCAAAGTTCAAACTAAATATCATGTCTTAAAATATGAAATGATTACATGTACAGCTTTAGTTTGCAATGATTAGAATTCTCTGTTTTATATGTAACTGTTGTTATTTAATTATTCATGGCAAGGTAATGTTTTTATGTTGTTTCTGTGTTTCTATTTGGTTGCAGTAAAAGGGGGGAATGTTTTCATATAATTATGGTAATTATATTTATATATACATGTTCTATAGGTACATACTAAGTTAAAGAATTAAATAATATATTTTACAAAATGTATTTTGATAGCTTTAAGCACAAAGAATGTGTAAACACTTCTATTTTCTATGAGGAATCTATGGTGATAGAGGGAACTTTAATTACATCTAATTTACAGATTCAGTGTCACATGTTTCAGTGTCTGCTGAAATACCATAATGTAATGTTGTAGAAATATACAGACTGTAGAAATTGTGTTAATGTTATATGTCTATTAAGGACATTTCTATAATTCCGTTAGATGTGAAGGACATGTAGACTTTTATCTGTTTTAGTATTTGATGTTACACTCCTGTAAAAACAACATTAAGCTGCCTATAGCTACATATGTGAATATCTCTTTAGTGAATGAATAGTAAAATTAATAACAAGTTGGCAAATAATAATAAGTTAATGAATAATAAGTTAGCAAATAATAAGTTGGGAAATGATAAGTTTGTTCATGAATAGTAAGTTGGGATATGATAAGTTTGTTCATGAATAGTAAGTTGGGAAATGATAAGTTTGTTCATGAATAGTAAGTTGGGAAATGATAAGTTTTTTCATGAATAGTAAGTTGGGAAATGATAAGTTTGTTCACGAATAGTAAGTTGGGAAATGATAAGTTTGTGAATGAATAGTAAGTTGGGAAATGATAAGTTTGTTCATGAATAGTAAGTTGGGATATGATAAGTTTGGGAATAATAAGTTCATGAATAATAAGTTGGTAAATAATAAATTTGTGAATGAAAAGTTAGGGAATAGGTTAGTGCATGAAAAGATCATAATTACAATATAAAATAAATAATTTTAAGTAAGTGAAGATGTAGTGATGTAATATTGAATTATCAATGTGTGAATTAGTACTGCACAATTAAGTATGTTAATAATTAGTATGGTATTTGAGGGAACCTGTTAATAGTGCTGTAGACATATGGTATGGAACACAAAGTACATGGTTACACTGCTATATTCACTTGTTATTATATTTTATATTATTAGTTATAAACATTTTTGACAGGAAATATGGCACTGTTTTGAAATAGAACCTGAGCCACTGAGCCAAAAGGGACGTTACAAGCATGCAGTATTATAAAACTTAATGATGATATAAGAAACATAATAAACACTGTGAGCATGCTTGCTTTATTAAATGTTGTATAGTTGACATGGGTCTATTTATAGGAAGGATATCAAGAATTCCATTAGAATTGTTGTATTAGAACAGAACAGGGGCATTGTCAGAACCAACTGTCTTAGTGTAGAGTACAAGTTATAACATTAAATTATCATTTTATAATTGATTGCTCAGTAGCTGTTTACGTTTTAAAGTCCTGTACAATGTATGGTTTGTTAAGTTATTGGAAATTTATTAATTTGGCGACATATATTATAAAGGTATATTATGTTATGTTTAAAAAAAAAAGAAAATAATATATTTTTTCTGATAAAATTAATGATGGTAATAATTATTACTCGGCTCATCTATGATCACATTTATTAGAAGCCAAAGGCTTTATTTTTTTGTTTTATTTTTGTAAACAGATACCGATAGGTCCTGATAGGTATTTGCCGTCTCTCGTGTCAGTCACTGTAGTCTAGCATATAGCATTGTCCCATTAGCACACCTTTAATTCTCAAAACAATGGCATTATTTTTACCGCCTCCTTGGTCGAGGGGTTAGAGTCAATGACTTCTAATCCAGTTACCTCTGGCGTGGGTTTGATCCCCAGGGGATGCTGTGGTAGTTTAGCACGGAAGAAGGTAGTCTAGTACTGGTGTAACTCTCCAGGAACGATGGTTAGGAAACTACCCGTCTATATGACTGAAGTACTGTTGGGAAAAGGCGTAACATTAAACAAACAAACATTATTTCTAAATCACCTGGAATAATAAGGTTTGATTCTTGTTTCCAAAATAAAAGCATTTATATTGATTTTCAGGCTATTTAGGATTGACCTTGTCATCACATTTGAATTGACATATTTCTAGTAATATCAATTTGTCATCATTTATGAAACTAAAAAACATTTATTTTAGATTGTTTGTACAAAGTGCTAGTAATATTTTTATCTAGTCTTATATCCTTTAATATGTGGAATTACTCATTTATATCGATGAATAGATTTGTTTTAAATAATATCACTTCATCCATTCTTCTTCCTTACTGTTAGACTAATTATTTTCCTTAAATAAAACAAGATAAGAATTGCATTTAACATGTCACATATCTTAAGTTTTAATTTGTTTCCGACATTTAAAATATAGCAAGCATTTTCTAGTTTTATATCTGCAGAATGATACTGATTTATGTAAGGACTTGTATGTAAGGCAGATTAGTAGTGATACGAAAGAAATCCAATGTAAGGATGTGCTTTATATATACACTTGTTCTAAGTTGGACAAGAAGTATTTGAAGTTAGGGCTGAAGAGAGACATGTCTAATTACACTGTATATATACATAAAAACACATACACCATATGTTCAACAAGATATTACATATTGAAAGGTCATTTTTAACTGCTCCATCAATTGATGTTTAATTTTTTTTCTTATAATCACACTGTTATCTGGCTTTGTTTGATTTTGTATTTGTTGGAAAATAAAGTAAATGAGCCGCATCACAACAAAACCAACGTAATGTGTTTGCGACCAGCATGGATCCAGACCAGCCTGAGCATCCGCGCAGGTTGATCAGGATCCATGCTGTTCGCTATCAGTTTCTCTACTTGTAATAGGGTTTCTAAGCGAACAGCACGGATCCTGATCAGACTGCGCGGATGTGCAGGCTGGTCTGGATCCATGCTGGTCGCAAACCCACTTTGTTGGTTTTGTCGTGATGTAGCTCAAATTATTCCTTTAATTCTATGTTATGTAACTCTTCTGTTCTAATTGATTTATCTGGTACATGAGATAGATACTGTATGTTTATTCCAGATTTTAATTTTATTGTTTGCCATTGTAAAGAGGTGAAGGCCTCTATTTGCCATTACAATGTATTATTGTATAACCTTAAGTTTGTAATTAAGTCCTTGTATACATATAAATACGCTATTTCAATTTGTATTTTCTGTATTTTTTAATTTTTTTTAATTGAAGAATAATGACATTTTGCCTAGAAGCGTTTACAAGTAAACCTCCTCGCCTACAACATACTTATACATGACCAACATAAATATAGGAACATAAGTATAATGTCAGTGCGAAATTTTGATGACATGAGCCGTGTCACAACAAAACTAGTCTGATCAGGATCCATGCTGTTCGCTTACAAACCCCATAACAAGTAGAGAAAGTGATAGCGAACAGCATGGATCCTAATCAGACTATGCGGATGCGCAAGCTGGTCTGGATCCATGCTGGTTGCAAACCCATTATGTTGGTTTTGTCATGACGCGGCTCACATCTTAATCATTTACATTAATCATCATCAGCGATCTTTAACAAAACTTGACTCAGAAAATATTACAAACATTATTATTGTTTTGTTGGGATTTTTTTTCGTTTGGGGAAAATATTCTGAGTATTGTTTTAGTAAATCATGGTGGGATCCGGGAGTGATTGAGAGAATGTAAGCTAATTCCACATTCCGTGTATGTATGATATGTACTGTCATCTGTTAATTCTTTTTTGAGACAAATTCTAGAATTATTACTGTATGTAAAATAATAAATGTTGAGATTTGTACATCATTGTCTTACTTTTTTTGTGTTACATGTTTGATTGTTAAATGTATATATTACAAGTATTTCTTGCTCTGTGTGTGTCCATGTGGTTGAACTGCTAAAAAAATATGCTTTCCCATGTCCCCATCCATCTTTGCTTAGTTCTTGTTCATATTGGATAACTTCAAAAACCAAACTTTACCACAGAATGGTCTAGGTGACATAAAAACCTTTTAATAGGTTCTCTAGAACTCATGGGAACGTCATTAGCAAACTTGGTTTTAAAAATCATCTGATATTTGTTCATGTTTGCACATAAAAACTGCCCGTGTACCATATATAAAAAATCCTTGAAACAGAGCTTTGCATAAATCCTTACTGATATACAATAGTTATCCACTGATGACACTCACATGCTTCTTATTTTCTCAAATCTTGAAAGGACTATTTAAATCTAAAGATAGAATACTTACAACATTAAGTGATGAGGAAATTTATTTTTGCTTTTTTACCGAGCTAACCTATTGAGGATTAACTCGGCTGTGGTCAAATTCTGTTCACCAAAGTCTATGCTTGATGTTCGTTTGAAAATTGATGTATATGGACCTTGTATGTTAACTTAGGTTAACTAATGATGTACTTTACAAATTGTTATGCCCCCCTTCAAAGAAATGGGGGTATATTGCTTTGCATTTGCAGTCGGTCCGCAGACCAAATGGTTTCCGAGTGATAGCTAAAGAATGCTTAGGCCTAGGAACTTCAAACTTGGTATGATGATTGTTCATGACCAGCAGATGACCCCTATTGAATTTGGGGTCAAAGGTCAAGGTCACATTGTCTGTGTAGGTAAAAATGGTTTCCGAGTGATAACTAATGAATGCTTAGGCCTAGGAACTTCAAACTCAAGTTTGATGATTGTTCATGACCAGTAGATGACCCCTATTGAATTTGGGGTCAAAGGTCAAGGTCACATTGACCTTGTAGGTAAAAACGGTTTCCGATTCATAACTTAACACCGCTTATGCCTAGGAACTTCAAACTTGGTATGGTAATTGTTCATGACCAGCAGATGACCCCTATTGATTTTGGGGTTAATGGGTCAAAGGTCACATTGACCTTGTAGGTAAAATCGGTTTCCTATCAATAACTTGAGAACGCATAGGCCTAGGAACTTCAAACTTGGTTTGTTGATTGTTCATGACCAGCAGTTGACCCCAGGCCCTGTTGCATTTGGGGTCAAAGGTCAATTGCATTGACTTTGTATTTCAAAATGGTTTTCTATCAATAACTCTATCAACAACTCATGGACCCTTAACCTTATTGATTTTTTGGTCACTAGGTCAAAAGTAAGTCATAATAACCTGGTCACATGACTATATGGCTGCCGATAGGGGGCATACATGTTTTACAAACATATCTTGTTCCTTTAAATTTTTAGATGCTTTAAAATATTTTCTGAAGTAGATCCGCCCTCTAAGCTCAAGAGGGAAAGCATCAGATTGGTAACCCAGGGGTTGCTGATTCGATCCTCGGACGAGTTGCAATTTGTTGCAATTTCTTCATGACTAAATTAAGACTTACAGGTCATTTGTCTCTCAGCGCTGATTTATAAATCATCTGGGATAAGTAGTCAATCACTTGCCCAAAATGGAAATTACTAGTAGTTGTTAGCCAGGAATGTAGGTTAGATAAATCGACCGCCGGGATGTGGCAGCTACTAATGATTATGCGCTACATAATTTGCTTCCGCTTCTTGCTGTTCATGCATTTCCTCAAATACTTAAAATTTGAGCCGCGCCACGACAAAACCAACATAATGGGTTTGCGTAAGCATGGATCCAGACCAGCCTGCGCATCCGCGCAGTCTGATCAGGATCCATGCTCTTCTACAAACCCTATTACAAGTAGATAAATTGATAGCGAACAGCATGGACCCTGATCAGATTGCGCGGATGCGCTGGCTGGTCTTGATCCATGCTGGTCGCAAACCCACTATGTTGGTTTTTTCGTGGCGCGGCTTAAATTTTATTAAATACACAAGTGTATGCCCGTGATTCAACCACAACTTAAGATAATTACATGTAGTATGGTTTTCGAATTAATGCTAGGAAACGAAGTATCTATACACTTAAATATATAAGGGTTATATATTTAAGGGTTATTGTTTCATTCTGTACAGTGAAATGTAAGCAGAATCATTTTCAAAATATTAACATGCATACACCTTCCACTCTTGGAAGACATTTCAATGGGTGTCCTGAATAAACACTGGTACAGAGGACGCGTAAAAGTTTTAGGGTCTCAAACCATATTAGCTATTATGTTCAACAAAGTTTGTTATACGGATTTAATTTATTTGTAAATATATATTGCCTTAAGATGTTATCTGTGAATAGAATTGTGGAATTTAGCAAAATTCATTTACACTTATATTTAGTACTCATTGTATAACTGTAAAATCAATTTAAAATATATATACATAAAAGTCTGCCGGTAGAATCTAGAGCGACCTATTCCATAGCTGCAGTTAATATTTTGACTGTTCTTACTGATAATAAATCATTTTGGTATGCATTCATATGGTAAAGATAATTGTACGAACTAGGGCGCTACCGATGTTTTTGCGGTTTGTTGAAGGGGAAAACTGGCTCTGCTTGTGGAGAAAAACCTCGGGGTGCCCATTCGTGGATTAAGTTAATCACTGGCGGGTGAAACCCTTCATAGATCGTGCTGAATAGATTTCTCGACATGAAAGAATTCGAAGTAACTGTCTTTATTCAAACCCACAACCATGAGATGCAAAATGATTTGTAAATGATAATAAAATAATAAATTCAACATTTATTCAGCTTCCAAAGTTTATAATTACAAAATTTTGCTAAATTAACATTCAAAAATAACTTGCTAACTATAGAAACATACTAACATTAGCTAAATTTTCTACCATATCAAAAATAATAAACTGTGAATAGATTGCCCCGGACACCGCCTTGACAAAGCTTCGACACTTTCAATGACATTAATAATATATATCGTCAATAGATGAAGACTAATGAGAAAATGTCAAAATGACATTGACTCCTCAAAGTTTATGTAGGCTTGAATGTCTTAAAATATCAGTCAATAAAAAGAGACGTCATGAGATACGGTGGGTCAGAAAAAACGGAACGAACAATTCGAATACTACATATATACCCCCCCCCCCCCCCCTTGGCGGGATATCTGTTAAGCGGTGCCATAAGAATCGCCTTTTACTTAAGGATCACCTACCTATTATACAAAACCTAAATGACATTTTTTTTTTTCAAATGCGTATACATTCAATATTGTTAAAGTATTATTTATTATCAAATATTATTTCAGCTAACATCTAAATCTAGTGAAAGATGCGACAACAATATATATAATCATTTTGATCAATGAAATACTGACCTTTACCATTGAGATGTGATTCATATCAATGTCTAAGATGAACTACGGACTTCAAATTAAAGTCCGTGTTTTTCGAAATAGAATGAAATAATATTTGTTGTGAAGAAATAAGGAAAATACCTAACTATGAGGTCAGAATTATAAGCATATGCTGAACTTCCCCCTTTGCAATAAGTTATTTAACATATTTTACATATTTACTTAAAGGCGTATGCTAAAGTTACATATAGAAATATAATAATACTACATTATTACATAATTATAATAGAATTTGTTTAAACATTGCACGATCTGAGAATATAATAACAGAAGCATTGTGAGCGGAAAACAGGTCAGCAGCTTCGTTTTCGGGTGATGTGCCCTTGAATTTTGTTTTATCAAGTCATTTCAAGGGCAGATATTTTACACGTATATTTTACAAATCTTTTTATTTCTACTGGTTTATGTTTTTCATTTTATCCTTAGTTGCAATACGACATTTCATGGAATTCAATTAACCATTTGTTTTCCCTTCATTCAGTTTAAATTAATAGTCTGAATATTCACGATTTTTTATGAAGTTGGCAAAGAATTTAATTAATAAAGAAAAAAAAACTTTACTTATTACCGATTCTTGAAATTTTGCACAATCATTCGAAAGCAAGTTAGCTACAGAATAAGGCCTTGCTAATCACCTGCCCTTGAAAGAAGCAAAATTCTAAAATTCAAGTGAAAAAAAACTGGAAAACGAAATATATTTGACCTGAAATTTCTCTATTATCTTCCTCTACAAGCATACAGTTTAAATGTATTTGATTTTCTTTTTTTTAATCAAATTCTTTTTTTCAAATGATATCATATTGATTGCTATAGTATGTACCATTTATTGTATTTCAAATGCAACCTAATTTATGCACATCTTATAACTATTATTGCGACAATGTTGGAAGGGCCAACACTCTAATGTTGTTAAAACTTGTGGTCCGACCCTTTTGCTTTTTCCAACTAAAAGCATCCTTATAAATACAATGTACAATGTACTGTAAATTTATTTGATAACGTTTTGTCTTATCTGTGCATATATCTGTTTTGTATAGAAACAAAATAAAACAAAAATAAAATATGATTAAACTTAAACAAATATTAAATAAATTATATTATGTAGTTTTTTATTTTTTTTTATGTGTTTATGTGTAACCGTAGCATACGCCTTTAAGATATATAAATTTTAACACTATATATATACATATTCGTTAATAACCATTTGTCTACATTTATCTATAGTTGATAACATTACCATGAATAATGGCATTATAAGAACATTAACATTATAAACAAATATCCTAGCACCCTAAACTATTATAGTTTAATTTCCCATGTATATAATTCAGTATGAAAGAAGACATTTCTTAATACAAATACATGTACATACAAATCAATACATATTAATACACAGCTAAATCATTACTTGTATGTCTGAAAAGATGAATTAAGAAATATTTCGATACCAAACTTCAAACGGACTAACATTTGAGCCGCGTCACGACAAAACCAACATAATGGGTTTGCGACCAGCATGGATCCAGAGCAGCCTGCGCATCCGCGCAGTCTGATCAGGATCCATGCTGTTCGCTTACCAACCGTATAACAAGTAGAGAAACTGCTAGCGAACAGTATGGATCCTGATCAGACTGCGCGGATGCGCAGGCTGGTCTGGATCCATGCTGGTCGCAAACCCATTAAGTTGGTTTTGTCGTGACGCGGCTCATTTGTTCTCACTTATCCGATAGTTTATGTTCACTTTCATACTAGAAAATTATGAAAGTAAAACACGCCGATACTACAAATTCAAATACTTTATGTTACATTTATAAAACAATTTACAATAAAGATAATACTATAACATTAGGCACCATGTTCACCAGGACCAAGATCGGAAATTATACTATGTTTGACTTAACCATTTGCATGCTGGGAAAATTTTCGTTTGCTGAAGATGTCGTCTGCTGAATGTTTTGATTTTATCAATTTTTTTCACCAAAAGGTGACTTTGTGGTAACCGGCGTCTGATCTAGTAACAAACTGTTTTCCAAAGACTTGTGTAGGCAAAGGACTTGAAAATGACATTGGTTGACTATGTATAAGTAAAATACATTTTGTCTAGATTTCAAAGATGACTTTTTCTTCAAAATGGTCTCTTCAAATCAGTAAAAATTAAAATTAAGATCACTTAATCCTCATTTATTTTCCTTATGAGCACAAAACTAGTAACTTTATAATTTCATATTATACATGTATTACAAATAATACAAATTACAATAACAATTGGTATTATTAACCAATCGCATTGTATATATACCGTTGATAACTTATAAAATAGCATTACTTGACCGGAAATGTGAGACGTTTTAAACAACGTTAACGAATCCAGTCACGTATCCTGTCCCATTGTTTTAACAATGATAAACATTTTAAGCACAAGCGGCAAATAACTATCACATACCACCTTTACACAAGTATCTATATTTCCAAGCAGTCCTACACCCCGCACAGTCTGACCAAGACTGTTATTTGCCTCTTACATATTAAATGTCATTAAGATATCAGTGGGCAACTATAGATTTAGAATAGGGAAAGAAAATTATACAAATGTATCGGTAAAAATATTCATTAGAAACAAGAAATTGCAATAAAAATATTCAAATTTACACATGTTATAATATATATAAATAAATTATTATTACTCTAGTTTGTTTTATTTCCAAACATTTTATTTTATAACATATTGCCTTACAGTATACATCATTAATTTTGTATTTTGTTCCATATGAATGCTTGCCTCATATACAGAAAACATACAAAATATTTGTAATAAGTTTTTATATATGCATTATTGTGTATTTTTCATATGTTATTAAGAATGATATTATCTGAATACCAAAACAGTTGAACAATTACAATGCATCAACATATATAGACTATATAGTTAAACGACGAAAACATATTTGAGCCGCGTCACGACAAAACCAACATAATGGGTTTGCGACCAGCATGGATCCAGACCAGCCTGCGCATCCGTGCAGTCTGATCAGGATCCATGTTGTTCATTTATCAGTTTCTCTACTTGTAACAGCATGGATCCTGATCAGACTGCGCGGATGCGCTGCTGGTCGGAAACCTATTATGTTGGTTTTTGTCATGACGCGGCTCATATTTTCATCTTCAAACTGGTAATCATCTACAGTCAAAAACGTGTAAAAGGACCACCCTGAGAGAAAACATGTTATATTTATTTAGTTTTATATAATGCATATTATCAGACATTAAGGTGTAGTTTACTAATTGTTATAGAGACAGATGACAATGGATACAATCAAGGTCTTTTACTCATTTTTGACTGTGTGAATTTGGAATGAACTCGACATTATTTTCCTGGTGTAACACATTATTTGACCACCTCCACTTTGCCGTCTGAAACAAAGAGAAAATATTAACTTATTGTTTTTTCTTGTATTAATGTTAGTGGAATGGCCTTAAAGCAATAAAGCATGTGTGATACAGAAAGGAGGTCTGTACTAGTTTCATATTAAAAACTCTTTATACAATCAGGGCTTCAAAATTAATATTCATCTAGATTTCCTCTTCATTACATGTAGGTAAGAACGGCACACCAAGTTCTAGTTGTTTTCAAAACGAGGAAAACGTTATCGACACTATTTGCATGCTTAGCAGGTGTCCGGTACCTTCAGTGCTTTGATTAACCATAAGAGACAATGGCGTTAAAACGGACCGTAGTGAGAAATAAGAACATAAAAATAAGTAACTGAATTATATTACCATCTGGTAATTCTACTTCATCATAAGATCTCGGCGCTCTCTTCGGGGCTGAAACAAAAATCAAAACTTTTATACAGTTGTATAACGGAATGTCGTTCCTGTTGTTGTTATAGACGCTAAGTCTATGAAGAATTTGAAAACCAGCAGAAAATATACTTCATCTAACCACTAAATGTGTCAAGAAACGTACATCTTGAGGTCATTTATTTTATTTATTAGACATTGCTGACCAGAGAGGATCAAAATGGGAACTACTGGTTGGTAAATTAGATCAACAAATAAACGCTAGATAACATACAATGTCTCGACTTATCCCGAAATATAATTAATTCTTATTTGCGAAAAATTCAAATGTATACAAAATAATGAAAAATAAATCCAAAAGCTAAAAATATTCTAACATTTTTTTTTAAAGTGTGGTGGCAGAGATCTCCGTACCGTCTAATCAAAATCAGCCCTCTTGGCTATTCTGTCAGTACATAATTTGAACCTGTCCCTCAAAATTAAAAATGGTTTTGTTCAAATTGGAAGATAGACAAGTCTATTTAAAAGATTTAAGGCCCATTATACCTTTCAAATGCTATCAATATTATTTTTCAAACACTTTTTATTTTTAGTATCATATGTTATAGTTCCTTTAATATACTCATTTGTCATGAAACATACAGCATAGAATTCAAGTTTTTTCCTATAAATACAGTATTTATTTTCATTGAGTGGTATGAAAATAAATAGTTCACGTGTGGCGGTAGCCACAAATGAAATATGATAATTTTCATATCACAAGATGAAAATAAATCCTGTATGTATAGAAAAGAACTTGAATTTTCTGTTTAGTACGTACTTTTTCTCCTATATAACCTTACAATTCTTAAGAATTCTCCTTTGATTTTTGTGTATTGTCTGAATTGAGAAGAAAGTATTCGACAAATTACCAATAAAAAAAACCGGAAAATATGTTTCACTGCAGTGAAAAATAAATTCTAACAGTGAAAATACGTAAAATAAAAATACGCATTAAAATTAACAACGTTTTTCAATATTTCATTTATAACTTTAAAAGACATGAATATCTTTTGCTACACTGTTGACAATTGGTATAACTATAGTGAATAAGTCTTTTGTAAGTTTACATTTTGCTTCCTTTATGACACAATCCTGCTACTTTCTTCAGTTATTAAACATCTAGCATGCTCTAAATATTAAAACATTATTAAACACAGTTTGACATTTCTACGCATGATTTGCTTTTAAGCTATTTTTATAATGCAGAAAATTATGATAACATTTTATGCATTATTATATAATTTTATGTCATATTTCTTTTTCATATGTTCATGTATTTTTGTATAAGTTTTTATGTAATATTTCTTTGTCTTGCGTTTTTCATTTCAACTCTAAATTAGATAACATTTTACACATTCTGCATTTATTTTAATCAAAGTATATTTCGGCTTAGCAAAACAAACATCCTTAACCATCTTTGTTGAAGAAAACGTGCTAAAATATTTTTCACACATTGAAGCCAAATTGTTTGTTTGCTACTGATAGCTAGTCAGACTTCAGCTTTTAGCACCTTTGACATTTCCTCTAACTTCAAAGATTTTGTCGCTTAGAAATCAAATTAAGCCCTTTGGCTTTGCTTAGCAGGTTATTAAAAACACATTTTTTGTTAAAACTCCTTCTCTGTATTGTTTGGACTGTTTGGCAGATTGAGTAACTCTCCTGGTAGCCTTCCATAAAAAGGACTGTACTTGCAGTCAAAGTTACATTCGCTCACTGTAACTTTGACAAAGAAGTTTATTAATAAATTGTGATTCAACAGTCTTTTAAGTTTGTGGATTTATTATTCCAGGTATGTTGAGTTTCTCATTGTTTATTTTTTTCTATTGTTATTCAATGTATTTTTCTATGTCAAGTACAAAACATATTTTTAGTCTAAGTATGTTGTAAAGATTTCTGCTATCATTCTAATAAAACTAATTAATTATTGTTAATCTTTTTATGACAAAAATTTGATATAATTATATATCTCTAGAAGTTGAAAATATAAATGAGATATATGTTATAATTGATTAAAATGAGTTATATGTATAAATAGATAATGGTTTACATCTTGCATTATGTTACTGTATATAAGTGTTTGATAATTCATAAACAATGTGAGTAAAACATGATTGTATGTTCATAAGTATGAATAGGTTCATCTGCCTTTCACAGCATAAGCGAGTTCTCTACATAAATAATTCTTATCTAATATTCCCCATAATTATTAAAGTCAATTCTTGTTTAACATCAGTAATGCAATTTCCATTATTTTTATCTAAGATGTTAGTTTTCAGTTATCATCCATATTTGCAATGATGTTGATTGTCTAAAAATTGAAATTTGTATCATTGTATTATATATTTACTGATTATACATTCGCTCACTGTAACTTTGACAAAGAAGTTTATTAATAAATTGTGATTCAACAGTCTTTTAAGTTTGTGGATTTATTATTCCAGGAATAATCCTAAGCCGTCCTTAATAGACGCACTATCCCAGTGTTATATTAATTGGTGGGGAACAGTGGTCGTTCTCACATGAACCCAGAAAACCGATATAACTTGCGGCGGCTACAGGAAACTGACCTGATAGAACCACGTGCTTCAGACTCCAGATCAGCACCAGCAACACCTGTAAGACCTCCCAGAAGGCAACAATCAAGCAGCACCCTAGCAACTCAGACCATTCAAGCCGTAAATACTCAGCCTACTGAAACTATGTCTGGACCTCAGCCATTTACGAATGCAAAATTAGAAGATTTCCTTGGTGATGGCTCTTCAGATGCAAGAACATGGATAGCAAGGTACGAACGTTATTGTACAAGGGCAAAATTTAATGATGACATGAAACTACAAGAGTTTCATACAGGTCTTAAAGGAAATGCTTCACTTTGGTTTGAGACAGAAGCTGAGAGTATTGACAATTATGCAGCCCTTAAGGCTGAGTTTCTGAAACGCTTTGCTAGTGAAGATGAACACCATATACCACGTGTTCAACAGTATGAAGAAGAAACTGCAGATGATTACTACTCACGGTACCTAAACAAGATACGTCACTGTCGTTTAGATGATGGGTACAAGGTTCATCTCTTTGTTGATGGACTTAAGAGTGACTTAAAACCTCTTGTGTTTATGAGTGAACCTAAGACATTAAATGAAGCTAGGAGAACAGCAATTCGCGCGGAACAAGCAAGGTCTCGACAGCCTACTGCTGATGTTTCTGCTGTATATGCTCAGCAGGATGAAAAATATGATAAACTTTGTAAACTTTTGGAACAAGCTATGGACATGAAACTAAAACAGGAAGCACCTCGTGAATATGACCAGCAACCAACACATTACAGACAACCTAATTATCATTCATACAACTATGGTCAACGACAACCTGAGACACACTATCAACCAAGGCAATCTTTCAATCAGCGTAGAGGCAACCGACAACAATCAAGGGAAGAGTGTCGCCACTGTGACGGTAAGGCTCTTAATTGTAGCTTCTCTGTTAATGGTAAATGTCCAGGGATAAGTATTATATGTAAGGGGTGTAACAAAAAGGGTCATTTTGCTAAAGCTTGTTACAGATGGTCCACTCAACAATAGGGATTCGCGCCTATCTACAGAAAATCTGTGGGTAGGCATAAAGGCAAAAACCAACATTACAGTGCTAAATCCAAACATTCTGAAAATTCATTTTCTGCTAAATCTGGTGCTAATGAGAAACAAAATTTTAAAGATGAAAAGTCCAGTGCTAATGAAAATATAAAAGTGAACATAATTGAAAATAGCAAAATTGAAACTGACAATGTCAGTGCTGATCAAGACATACCTACCATTGCTCTCATGAGTAATATTCATAAAAATACAGTTTTAGGTTACATAGGTGGCAAAAAGGTACAGTGTCTACTTGACACTGGTGCTTCTATATCTTGTATTTCAAATTCATTTTTGGGAAAAACATCTTTGAAAAATGCTTCATTCACAGAATCAGATTTTCCTGAAATTTCCGGAGTTGCAGGAGAAAGGCACAAAATTTTAGGCAAAATAGAAATTTCTGTTTCAATTGCTCATGCTAAATTCGCATCTACATTTTATGTTTTACCTGATTTGCAACATCCTGTGATTCTTGGCTTAGATTTTATGACAAAACATAAAGTTAACATTGATGTGGCAAATCAAACTGTTCATTTTAAAGAAAATCTTGTTGGTACAAAATTATCTAGGTCTGACTCAGGTTTGGCAAGAGTAAATTACTCCACTGTTATACCTGCAAATTCTAGGGTTGATATAAATGTTAAGGTTTCAAGGCGCAAAACAGGAAATACTGTATTGTTAGAACCAACTGATGCACTTTATAACAGACAGCTTGCAGGTGCTAAATGTTTAGTAAAATTACGAAAACGTAAAGCAGTAATTAGTATAATGAATGCTACAAGTGAATCTGTCTTTTTACCTGTAAACACAGTTGTAGGTACAGTTACTGAAGTTGATGACTGTGATGTTTTTACTATTAATGAAAAAGTTGAAACCTGTGCTAACCCACCATTTTGTGCTAACATTAATTTCACCTCTCAAGAGCAAACTACAGAAATAGATTTTGATCTTTCAAATTCTGATTTGACAAAAGAGCAAAGAACAAAAATGAAAAATTTCTTAAATCAAAATAAGGATGTATTTTCTACTTCTTTAAAAGATTTGGGAAAAACAAATTTATATCACCATACTATTGAAACAGATTCTAATGCAAATCCAGTTCGTCTGCCATTTTATCGACAAAATCCTGTTCAGAGAAAAATTGTTGAAGAAGAAGTTCAGAAAATGCTTGACAGCAATATCATTCAAGAGTCAAATTCTATATGGCATAGTCCTGTTGTTTTAGTTAGAAAGAAAGATGATTCTTTTAGATTTGCAGTTGACTACAGGAAATTAAATGCAATTACAAAAACTATAGCTCATCCTTTGCCTACAATTGAAACAGTTTTTGACTGCATAGGCGATGCTAAAGCAAAATATTTTTCTACTTTGGACATGGCCTCAGGATTTTGGCAAATACCTCTTGATCCTGAAACCCGACATAAAGCTGCTTTCATAACTCCTTCTTCAATTTACGAGTTTACCCGAATGCCTTTTGGTCTAAAAAATGCTCCAATGTCATTTCAGATGTTAATGTCAAAAGTTCTTGGGTCAATGAACTGGAAACATGCTCTTTGTTACATTGACGATATCTTAATTTTCAGTAGTTCTTTTGAACAACATTTAGAACATTTAGATATTATTTTTCAAAAGCTCCGAGCTGCAAATCTTACGCTCAAGCCTGAGAAATGTCATTTTGCTCTTGAGAAGGTACCCTACCTTGGTCATATTTTATCAAAGCATGGAGTAGAAGTAGACGAAAATAAAACAAAAGCTGTTCAGGAATTTCCAGTACCTTCAACTATTAAAAATTTACGATCATTTCTTGGTCTATGTAATTATTACAGAAAGTTTGTCAAACAATTTTCAAAAATTGCAGCTCCATTAAATAAATTATTACAAAAGGATACAAAATTTGAATGGACCGAAGAACAACAGAAATCCTTTGAAACTCTTAAACATGCCTTGGTTACTGCTCCTATGATTGCCTATCCGGACATGAACCAAACTTTCATACTTACTACCGATGCTTCGGATGTCTCTTTGGCTTATATACTTGGTCAAAAGGGGTCCGATGGCAAAGAGAGGGTGGTTTGTTATGGGGGTAGGTCTCTACGGCCTGATGAGCGAAAATGGGGCGTAACTGATAAGGAATGTTTGGCTGTAGTAGAAGGAATAAGATGTTATAAACATTACTTGTCGCATCAAAAATTCAAAGTTTTCACTGATCATAAGGCACTGGAATGGCTACACAAGAGCAAAGATACATCAAGTCGCTTGGGTAGATGGTCATTAGAATTACAGGGATATGACTTTGATGTCATTCACAAAAAGGGTAGTACTAACCAAAATGCTGATGCCTTGTCTCGACGTATATACACTGTCGAGCCAGGTACATCGGCTGAGGTTAAACCTTTTGCACTTGACAGCGTCCAAAACACAGCTGCATTGACTCCTGTTACTGTTACCCAGGAGACATGCATCGCTGTTGGCGTCGACGTCAGTGCGACAGTTGAAAACCAAAATGCGAACACTTTGGCACATTCTGAATTTACCAATGTGTCAAGTGTATCCGTTGC